GTGCGCGTCTGATAAATTGATAAGTGAAGAAATGATAGGAAGTGTTCTTCATATTTTCTCATTGCAGTTTGCAAACACCAGAAATTCAACTTGGCTTTCTTAGTTGACGGCTCAGCCAGCATGAAAACTCTCAACTCATCCGCTGCTTTTCAATACAAACAGTTGGTCAAATCTGTGATCGACTTCTACAAGGTTGATAAAGAAGACACTAATGTCGGTTTAGTGGTCTATTCGTCACTCACCATAACTAAGTTTACCTTCCAAACGCATTACGCTAAACCAGACATCAACCAAATGATCGACTCCATGGACTATCCAGCAAATGGTACTTACACGGGCTCAGCCCTCATGGCTGTTCAGAATGATCTCTTTGCGCAGGCGCAATCTGGAAGACACAACTGCCTTGTGACTCTCACAGATGGAGTGTCCAATGATGACGTTTCTTTGCCATCAGCTCATCTCAGAGCAATGAAGGTTGTGACTCTGGCTGTGGGTGTCGGCGAATTCTACGCAGCAGAAGAGCTTCAACTGATAGCATCTACACCGTCCAATGTGTTTGAGGCTCCATCCTATGATCAGCTTCCATCTACAGCTGACAGGATAAAGGAGACGCTTTGTAACGGTAAGATCTGCTGCTTTTCCACAACATAGGGAGCGTCATCGCATAAATATTGGGGCTTATTTTTTCACTTGCCTTTTTTATCTATTCTCTGGTCCCCTCAAAAATAACAATTTTTTTTTCTTCCGGTGAAGCTGTGGATCACTGCTACAACAATCCCTGCAACAACGGTGGAACATGTGAAAGTCTAATGGACAGTTACGAGTGCGCTTGTCCATCTGGTTATACGGGAGTCAATTGTGAAATGGGTAGGTGCACAAGTGTAAAATGTGCAAATCTTGTCTATCGGTTCTTTACACTTCCTTTAAAGGGTCTATGTTTGTGCATAGCATCAATTTATTCAAATTCTTTTATGTGTAATGCGCTTGAATCTTCTCATACACCAAGCATCTTCGTTGTCTTTTGATTTATTCCTTCCTCTTTGATACTTGTATTTCTCTGTACGCCAACTTCGTTTTTCTATTGTGATTGGTGTAGTACAGAACGATCTACTAAAAAACACAATGATGAAATTCCACTGTGTTGTAACCCTAAATGTGATTTATGTCTGAATTATTACCCAGATATTAACGAGTGCGCAGATATGGGCTGTGGAGATAGAAAAATATGCATCAATTTCCCAGGAACTTCATTTTGTAACTGCAGACCAGGATTTTTCGACAAAGAAAACTCTTGCGACCGAGGTACTGATAGCTTTAACTATGCTAGTCAATCTTGTTCATGTATGTTTTAATCACTTTTCAAACCTGTTATGAGTCAACCACGTCATCCAACCTCGCGCCGATTATATCCAATACATCTTTTTCTTTTCATCGTAGAATATTCAGGTACTTTCAATATCGGATTCCTTGTGTACACTGGAGGTGACGTCGACAGCTATCAGAAGGGGAACTTTAAAAAGCTAGTGGGGTTCGTCAAAGGCATCGTAAAAACCCTTAAGGATGATGGGGACGATTCACGCATAGGGATTATTGGGTACTCTGACACCCCATACTTGAAGAACCGATTGGACAACACCACGCATTCAGAGCTTGAAGTTGAATTGGACAATTTGAACACAACTGGTAAAGGAAGATATATTGGAAAAGCTTTGGAACTAACGAGCAGGGAGTTATTTAATCAGTCAAATGGACTTACTGGCAGAAAATCTCGAGACATCGTTGTTGTCATAGTAGACGGAAGTTCAGCCGATGACATTGCTGTCCCTTCATTCGCTTTAAAAGAAAACAACGTTACAATATTTAGTGTTGGTATTGGTCGGTACAAAAGTGGTCAGTTGAACGAGATGGCTTCAGAACCCAACTCAGAACATGTGTTTACTACGAATGATTATGAGGGACTTGGTCCCGTAATGGCTTCCCTGAAAGATGCGATTGTTAAAGGTAAAGAAATCTGTTTCATACAGAGATCTTATAAATAGATACGGTAAAGGGTAGAGAATTAATTCCCTATCAGTTGTGGTCTTCTTGAAGCAACCGAAGATGAAAAGAGAAAAAGGGGTCAGAAACAATTTTTTTTGCACATAGTTATCATTCCCAGTTTACTTAAAATAGAATTGATCGATGATGCCAGCTGATTATCTCCTCCTTAATCTCAGCATTGTTTTATTGGCAGATGTGGATCCTTGTTCAATCAATCCTTGTTTCAATGGTGGAAGTTGTGTCAATCATCCTTCAGGAAACTACACTTGTATTTGCAAGTCTGGCTGGGCTGGGAAACAGTGTGAAGTTGGTAAGTGGCAAGTTTTGACCCTAACCAAGCAACGATGTGCTATGAAAAACAGTTTGCGTGCTGTTGTTGTTGTTTTTTTTTTCGGTTTCGTTCTTTATGTTGTTGTTGTCGTTGTTTTTTTTTTAAAGTTTCAATTGATAGATTTTCTTGCAGATAGTAAAAAAAATTCATTGTTGAGAATTAATGTTGTGTATTTGTGATATTTAGCTGGATCACCTTGTATTCTTTCTCAACTTCCTTGCTATAATAATGGAAACTGTACAATCGGAGATGACGGCACTCCTCAGTGCCAATGTGTTCTTGGATGGAATGGCACTAACTGTGAGGAGGGTAAGTGGAGAAACCTACTTAAAGTGAAATAAATATTTTCCTGTCTGGTTCGAGCTAACTCAGTCGATAAAAATTGTACCAAATAACCACTGCTCTTCTTTCCCTCCTTCATTTTTGAACCTCGTATCTCGCATTATAGTATGGCTCCTCCCGACCCCACCCGTGCCGTCACGTACGGCCAGCATAAGGGAATTGTTTTACATCCAATGATTTGCAATGTAAGCCCGTGCGGGTCATGCGATAAATATGAAAGTTTTTTTTCCAGACTTGGATGAATGCAAAAAGAATCCTTGTTTCAATGGCGGACAATGTATGAACACCCCAGGAAGCTATTACTGTAAATGTCCAGTCAAATTTACTGGGGAACATTGTCAGACTCGTAAGTACTGAGTGCAGTTTTAGTAGGTGCTAAGTAGGAAGTTGCTAAGTAGTAAATCCATCGTTCTCTGCTTGTCCATCTGGAGTTCTCTGCAAATATGCCTATCTCTCTGACTGACTGACTGACTTAGTTTTGGAAGACATTCGAATCACCCATGTACGTTCTAATAAAGATGCACGAACTAATTCCTGCCATAAAATCATGTATTTCGCTATGTCGTTGAGTTTAACTGTCTTAACACTGTAACTCAAATGTAAGATGTTCAAATCTTTGTAGGGTGTGAAGGCCAATTTGTTAACGTCGGTTTTCTGATTGATGGATCCGCCAGCGTGGAACTCTCTGGTAGTGGAAACTTTAACAAGACACTTGAATTTGTAAAAGGTTTCATCGATTATCTTGATGTGTCCGAGGAAAGAGCTCACGTTGGCTTAGCAGTCTTCTCTACTGATGTTTACCAAGTGTTCAATTTTGGAGAGTACCATAACTCATCGGAAGCTGGAAGAGCAGTGAATGGCGTCCGTTACCCGAATCAGGGAAGACACATTGGGAAAGCATTGAACTACATGCGACATAAGATGTTCTCAGAGCCTAAACTTCGGAGAGACGTTTCAAATTACCTGGTGTTAATAACTAGTGGGTCTTCTTATGATCTGATTAGAACTCCAGCAAAGGAATTGCGTGACAAAAACGTGACAATATTTGCTGTCGGGGTCGGTGATGACTATGATGAAGATGAACTTCGAGAAATCAGCGGCGATGATGGACGGTTAGTTTATAGAACGACGTTTGATGGTTTGGAAAATTTGAAAACGGAGCTGAAAAGAAAAATCTGTTCACGTAAGTATTTTAACAGGGCTGACTGGGACTTAAATGTATGGTTATTATAGAGATCACAACAATCTTATGTCGCATATATACTAACTGACTGACTGGCAAGTTCTACATGTACTAGGAATTTCATCACTGACATTGGCCAAGATAAATTGGAATTTATGTCTGTTAACATAAACTTTTTGAGGTATAATTTCACCTAAATCCTCTACAAATTTTCTACCTAAGTCTCCTTTCTAAGTCATTTTAGCTAGAGATTTATTCATTGACAAGACCACTATATCGAGCAACTACCTCCAAGGACTTCCTGCTTAAAAGTTGTTTGTTTTCTGGACACGGGGGCCTTTTGTGGAGTGGAAAAAAACTGTTTCCATGTTCAATACCGGGTCAAAATTTATTTAGGAAGTGGTTCTTAACGAAATTTTGTAAATTTGTTTGGAACTGTTGCTTTGATAGATGAAATGAAATGAATCATTTTTTCTTGGGTTTATCAGTTGAAGATCATGGCACTTGTAACTCTTCACCGTGTATCAATGAGGGAACTTGCATTAACACAGGGAGAAGTTACCGCTGTGAATGCTCACGTGGATACTATGGACAGGAATGTCAGTTTGGTATGTGGAATTAACCACTTGTTACCCCGAAAGTAGACGTGAAATTGAATAAGAAGGTGTATCCCTTCAAAGATCTCTCGGAAACGCGGTGGTCTTAGCGAACGAGACTCTTAATCTAATAGGACGAAATCAATCATTGACATTCTGTTCTCGCTGGAATTGAAATATTTGCTTTAACTGTAAAAAAAAAACTCTGTTTCCATTATTTTGTTTTTTTGGTCATTTTCATTTTCCGTAAATGTTTAATTCGCTCGTAACGGACTAGACACTCTACGGAGAGTTTAGTTTTTCTGAACCCTTTCACGAATTATATTCTGGACAAGTCTTGATTGACTGATTTCTTTCTCCAGTTTAAACGCTGTAATCGCATTTTTTTACTTTAGGTTGCGGATTCAGGGAGCTGGGTCTAAAAGTTCCAAATGAACGAAGAATACCAGATGATGACATCACAGCGTCTTCCCAAAAAGAAGAAGGACGAGCAGCATACCGAGGGAGGATTGGTGTCGAAACTATGGGTTTATGGAAAGATGGCTGGTGCGCATCCGTTATAGACACAGCACCTTATTTACAGGTGTTCTTTGGTAAGGGAAATTAAGTTACTAGACTTGTCACTTTATTTCCTCTCCTCCCATCAGTGTTTGTTTTTGTTTTTCTTTGCATGTGTTTCTCTGTCTGGTTTATTGCGATGGTGCTAATTAAGTGGTACTTCCTATGCCAGTTTTCTTGCTCTTACCTTCATTTTTTACAAAGAATCAAGTGTTTATTCATTGGTATATTCGTGTTGGTATACTACTGTTTGTTATTTATTATCTTCTAAATTATTTGTTTTTTTACTCACGAGTACCATCTATTTACTTTCACATCTGTAGTTTTTGCTTTGTCATTTTAGCAAATGAATAACTGTTGCCACCGTTTCTCTGTGTTTAAGGGTACCTAACAAACGTATCCGTAATTGAGACCGAAGGTGTCACCGATGATTCAACGAACTCTTGGGTCGAAAGTTATTATGTTTCTATGAGTAACGACTCTCAACCTGGATCGTTCGTCAACTACACTGAACAAGGAGTAACTAGAATTGTAAGTTAAATTTCTGTTAGAGACCCATTCAGCAATAGTTCGCAAGAACGGAGATTCCGTTGCTAATTTTTGCCTAAGAGTGAGAACTTTCATCAAATTTCCTGTAAGATGGGTCAATTCAGTGAGGTCAGGTGTGCAAATGAAACATTGAAATTCAGGCAGACAAGTAGACACTCCACAAACCGATCGACCGACAGACAGTCCAGGAATCGAACAGACCAATTTATAGAATTCTTAAACACGAAATATGTACATGGGTCAAACAGAGAGCAGAATTTGCGCTCACACAGGGTAATTTACAACGGCAAGTCGTTATTTAGTACATTGAAATAACTGATACACATGTATTGATACATGTGGTCTCTAATGTATAATGAAGACACTTAACGCGTTCCTCTTGTCTATCATTACAGTTTCAGGCAAATGATGACATTCAAGGTAAGAATCTGAGTCTTGAAGGAACGAGAGCTCATTACATCCGAATTCATCCTGTCAGTTTCACTGGTTCGTCTGCTTGTGTGCGCATCGCTTTATATGGCTGCGACTCAGGTAATTACACTATGTAAGAACGTATGAGAAGTCCTTACCTTCCCTCAGTAGAAAATTAAATTCTCCAAGCAGGTATTAGGGTATTAATTGTGAGTAACTTAGCTGCCGGGTTAAACCTGGTAACTAATGTAGTAAACAGATAATGAGAATGGATTAATTTAGTTTCAGCTCGAGTGTGCTATAATGATATATTGTCAAATTCTTTTAAGACATTTTTCATAAAATGTTTAACTGCCCGGAGGGAGACTTATTAATCAGGTAGAATTAATGTCTTCTCATTGCAGAGGACTTCCCCTCTTCGGGCATACTGCTTCAGAGAGTGAATAACGAAACGCCAGAGGAAAGCGTAGGGTTTGATCGAATCATAGCAGGTAGGTTATGGTTTTTGGTCTCCGCTTTGAGTTGTTACTCTTTTTTCAAGTCATGAATTCTTGTGCAAATATACATGTTTTTTAATTAGTTGCAACAACGAATTCAGAAATAATGTTAATTAGAGAGAGTTTCGTGTCGAGTTTCGTGAAACCAAACCAAATTTAACGACCAATCAGAATAAAGGTCAAGTAACGTTAGGAATAATGGGAACTCAAAGTTCAGCAAGGTAATTTTTTTGACGCGAGTGAAAAAGACAGGACGATCAATGCAAGTCTCAAATGGTTTTAGTCCTGAATCTGATTGGTTCAGAGGATGGCTCAAATTTTCCAGCACAGTAGAAAAGCACAGTAACACAAAATCTTCTTAAATCTTCGAAATCAATCTTAAATTTATCTATTTTCTCCGTTTTCTAATTAATTGTTTTGTCTTGTATTTTTAGTAATTCCAGCAGTTTTTGGTGCACTCCTTTTGGGCGGCTCATTGTTATTCCTTATACGTTATCTTCGGTAAGTGAAAACGATTTGCGTCTCATTTTGCGACGGCAAATTTTGCTGATAGGTAAAATAAATATAAGTTCGTGACGTTTTCGAGTATATCATATTACACGAAAAAAGGGTCATGCACTGAGTCGTTGTTTTAGTGTTGCGTCCGGAAAGTGACGCAACAAGGTTGATGTCAGTTAGAGATAAGTAAAGGTATGTAAACCTCGGCACCGAATTTTGAAAAGATGATGTTTCGAGGACTAGATCCTTGTTAAGCAAGAGTGCTATATGGTCTATCATTTTAGTTTTATGCGGTTTTTTGTATTCGTGTAAGCTCATGCCAAGTAGCTTCTCGCGGAGTGTTTTTAAGAAATTGGCTATCATTTCTCTGGATTGTTAATTTTTGAATTTTCTTTTTCTACAGGAAGAGATCTTCACGACAAATGAAAGGTTATTCAACAATGGAAGAAGAAGAAGGAATCTACCAAACAATCCCCTCTGATCTGCCCATGTATGAGGTGCAGACTGTGGCAATCGAGATGGGCCCTGACAAAGCCTTGAATAGCATTGGAATCTGGAACGAAGCGTACGAGTCTTACGTTGGAGACGAGGAAGAAGAGGAAGGAATTGAGCGGCATTATCAGAGTCTAGATGACGAAGAATACGAACATATTTACGAGAATCTACCTTCAGCTTTTGAAGTACAAACGCTGAGTGTGGAGGTGAACGGAAAGGAAGTGGTACCGGGGGAGGTTCACAGTGAAAACGCGTTTTATGAAAGTGTTTACCCAGAGAGCAAACTCGAAGAGAAACGAAGAAAACAAGGGTTTTTTGAGTTACCGCGATATCGGGAGTTGTCAGAGGAAGAAGATGATGACTACGACGATAACGAAGACAATGGCAGCGATAACGAAGGTTATGAGGATATTTACGACAATATTTTCTTCCCTGAGGAGCCATCAGAGGATCAGAAGAAGAGGACACTTACATTTTCTCCGCAACAGACGGCCGAAGATGGAATTTTCTCTTACGAAAACAAGGTAACAAGTAAACTTTTGCTGCATATAGCGATATGCATCTTTTTGAGGCAAAAAAAGCGACATAAAGATCATACATTCCACATTGCTGCCTCCTTGAAAAAAAACCGTTTTCTAACTCATGTTTTCTGAATCAGATTTTTAGCTTTGATCGCCGAACGACAACGTTGGAAGAAATCCAGAGGAAGAAGAGTCAAGTTTTTCCATTCCTTTAAATTTCCACAAGTTATTTATCGTACCATAGACTGTCTTAAACTGCACTACCCCAGCATTTGTCATGCAGTTCTTGTTGCATAGTTTAAGATTCCTATAAACAGTTGAGGCTCACGTTATTGATAACTCGATTGGTACAGAAAACGTGTTTGTAACCGAGGCACGAAATACGATTGTTGTGTGGTTTAAAAAGCGGAGTTTTTTCTTTTTGGAGGTTTCCCCAAATAGCATCGTCCACGTAAGGGAGTCTTTTGCAAGGCGTGCCCCAGTACGTTAGACTGATATGAGAGTCTTTGTTTTTGGACAGCTAGCAGAATTATTTACAGATGTGTAACGAAAACTGATGTTTGTAGATAAACTGTGATGCTGCTTCAGTGAGGAAATTACAAGATAGTTTGGTTTTATGAACAGAATCGATGAGGTAAATTGGCCACCGTAAAGAGGGGTAATACCTCTTTGCGGTGCCTAATTTAGAGTATCAAACCAAACGATCTTTCTTTAAGATTTGATTGGTTTAAAATCATAGATACGTTATACAAAGTCCTTGTTCGATAGCATTGTAGACCGTAAAAATCAATTTTGTTATCGTTAGTTGGGTGAAAACAGCGCAACAGCGAGACCCTGGAAAACTGGTTTTAAGGTAGTATACAATTACTAAACCTATTCTATTTTAAACAAATTCTATATCATATATGTAAATTAAGAAAAAATCATAAATAAACTAACATAACGAAAATTCTTGTGTCAATGATTAATCATTAAACAATTCCTAGAGAGAATCTCGGTCTTCGCCTCATAATCCAATGTTATCAACATTATATGACACATTACATGCCGTGTATGTCAATCTCTTGATCTACGGACCTGTACAATAAGTACACAGCCTGTTCCCAAGGATCTCTCTCTTGTCTCTCCCGCGCGTAGCCTGGGAATAAGAGTCCGGATTAATCATCAACGCCCGGAGTAAATAACGTAACAGAGCAATAAAAAGGCGCAACCTGTAGTAGTTCAAGAACATTTTAAGTTAAATTTTTGATAATTAATGGAAATTTTTGAAGAAGTCATTTTTGTTTCATTGCTTTGTTTCGTGGAATTGGTTATTTTCCTGTTCTTGTGACCTGGTGAGCGAGGACATTGAACCTCTCCCAATCTACGTCACGACAGTTATTGTTGTATAAACTGCTTTTAATCGAAATGAACAACTTAAAATAGTAAATTGCAAGGACGGACAAATGTCAAAGACAAAAGAGTGAGTCAGAAGGGAACGAGGAAGCTTAAGGACGGAGGAAATTTACTAAGATTACAAATAACAAACTTGAAAAAGTACAAAACATATCGCAGTTTCACCCCTGTTCTTTCCAAACGGACCGCAAACGATCCACAGATCATAAATATATCTTTCAGTCAACCGGAAAAACAATTATTTGTTGTGAGTCACAGGCAACCATTTAATGATCTTCTCGTAATTATCGCTCAGAATTTATCAGAATTCTAATTGATAAAAGTTTAGGATTTCCACGGAGTTACATAGCCCAGGAATATTCATCTTAAGTGCGAGATTTGTCATTACCTTCTGGTCTAATATCGATGTCTTTGTAGCCTGAAGTTTCCGTTTGCTTTTGTTTGTTTCATGACGACACTTGGATTGATATATTGAGTGATAAAAAATACGTGAATATGCAGATTTATGGATATTTGTGATTTTTTTTACACTTGCGATAGAACTTACAAGCCAGAGAGCAAAGTGAAATCTTTGCGCCGCTCTTAACCCAACCTGAGAAAAATGGCACTCAAAAACAAAGCAAGGATATCATTATTGTTATTGTCTTTTAACTTGTTATTGTTCCTATGGATCAGGTCAATTAGTAGCGAAGGTAAGTTTATGTTGTTTAAAATGACTTCTGTGGTTAGCACTTCGTGTGAAATTATTTAGATACTCTCATGGTTTTCGCTTGCGATGTCTTCGGTGTGATTAAATTGCTTTGTTACGAGAGCCTGCTGATCTGCATGTAAATTATGCAAACACAAACAGAATTTAGCGTCCCCTAACAGAATACAGACTAAAATTGTAAAGGAAACGTTTATTTGCCAGCTGAAAATCTCGATAAGAACGAGGGAAGTAAGTGACAAGTATGGGCATGTAATGTGGACAAAAATTCAAACTATTCTTAAATCAAAACACGTAATAACCCAGTTATTTTCACTTTAAACTTGATTTGAATTAGTACTACGCACGGCCAAAAAAATTTGACTAATTTCCGGATAAATGTGACGTTACAGAACTTCAAGGTTAACTAACTGAAAGTTAAGTTTCGCTACTTGTCGAGCACGTGCATCGCTCACAATGGAGTGAAACCTAGAAAAACGACTGTTAATGGCTAGTCCCTCTAACCCTAGATTTCTTGATGACATCTTTTTACTATGGGATATTTCTATGAAAGAAGCTTACAATTTTGTTGACTTCATCAATACGTTCCACCCTACAATCATGTTTACTTGTGAAACGTAACCTCGCAACAATCACAAAAATCAACGAGGCGGTTAAAAGCAAACTGGAAGGTAATTTGCATATGATCAGTTTAACTGACTCCTAAAGACGGCAGTCACGAAGTTGGGAGTATAAATTACAGATATTGCTCGTGGTTTATGGTTAAAAGAGAAATTAAAACTGTGAATTAACAGAGGCGGCGAATTCGGCATGTTAGTAACGAACATGTAGCGAACTCGACGAGTAGCGAGACCTGCGTAAAGCGTTTTTCATTGCAATACGAATAACTAACTACTTTAATCAACTGAACCAGAACTAAAACTAATTGAACGGCTTTTCATCGGAAGCGGCGTAAAAGCTACGTGCAGAGGAAACTAAGGGGGCCGGGATATATAAAAAAATCCTGCTCACGTTCCACGGTAATTTAATGAGAAGTTTTAAAGTCTGTGTCCTATCCATTATTTGGGAGAGGTGCTGACGCTTTCATCGACAAAAACTTGTTTTCAGCGTCTCGCTTCATCGACAGACCCTTGGAACAAGATTGTAATCAGCAGAGCTGAAAGAGTGCCGTCATATCTGAATAACAACTATCTGAATATAACAACTGTGACGTAAATACTCTGTGGTTTTCGAAGTTACCTAAACGACTTGGTGGTTTCCAACATAAATTGAGATATATTCAACTTTGAAGAGCACTTGATTGTAATAGATTTAAAGTCGTAGGTTTATTTTAAAAGAAGGACACTGGTCGTTTTAATTCGCGGCAACCCCTCTTCATTTTGCTCATGCTCCTCAATTTGAATAATCAATATCACTCTTCTTTACTTAAAGAGTTGGAGGGGGGAGGAGTGGGGAGAGGTGAGAGGAGGTTAGGGAGACGACTTGTTCTTTCTTTGTTTAAAAACCCGTACGCCCGAATCGATGAGGCATTCAATTCATTCGGGACTTTTCCTCTTATCCTCTTTTATTTATTTATTTATTTATTTATTTATCTTTTTTCAGCCATTTGTTCCACAGAAATGAATGTCGTATTTTCTGTGGAAGGATCCTACACACTGGGCGAGGTTAACTTCCAAAATATCTTCAGCTTTATCTTTAATTTATCGAGCAACTTTGACTTGGCAACCAATAAAACATGGATCATTACACTGGCTGGAAATGAGACGAGGGTCTATAAAACGAAAGAAGACCTGAAAAATGCCACAGCGCCGCATTTTCCAAACAGTTCGCAAGTGTCTTTGGGTAAATTACTGGAATCAGTCAGAGATTGGCTATATGGCAATTACTCGCGATTGGATGTTGCTACTATCGTTGTCGTTATCACTTCTCAGAAGTCTGATGACGACATCGCTATTCCAACAATTAACTTAAAAAACTCCAACGTAACTTTGTTTTCTGTGGCAATTGGGAGCCAGGTGTCTCTGGGTCAATTAAGCGAGATCGCTTCAAATCCCAAAGAACACCACTTGTTGCAGGCTACAAATACGATGGAGCTATCACAGAATTTTAACCTCACTTTGGCTAGGAGAATATGTGAAGGCAAGTTTTTTTTTTAAATGAACCATTTTATCCATTTGTATTTTTGTCCTTAGCTTTTTTTGTAAGCCCCAAAATATTACAGATGTAGTGGTACATGATCGTAAAACGTCTTTATTAGTGCTAATCTCGTGACTGTTTAGATATGACGTCACATTTATATGAAATATTGATATTAATTTTAAATTGTCAAAAAAAAAATTTTAACATTGTTTATAGTGCCGCTTCTTCATAAAAGCTGTAAACACATTGGTCGGATCCGAGTTTCATTATTTGTCAAGTTCCTGTTGTAAGATCAAAGATTACCAAAGGAATATCCTTCTCACATGTTTTAAGTGTGATTTGAAATGACTGTGGTACCTAAATTTATTCCACAGTTGTCGACAAATGTGTCAGCTCTCCATGTAGTAACAATGGGAATTGTACTAGCTTTACTGGTGGTTACAAATGCACTTGTCCGCCAGAATTTCAAGGAGACAACTGTGAGATGAGTAAGTAAAACTAGGAGACTTTTTCATTACTTCCTGTTTTGAGATTATTAAGAGATCCGTTTCAAACCCTAGCCACAGTTTTTCGCAGCGTTTATGGTTGTATTCTTAAGCAAGGGACAAGGAGGCCTGGGCACTTTCTCAGCGCCTCGTTTCACTTAGGTGTAGGATTTAGCAGGAGGTCGAAAGTTGTCAGGGAACCCTGACGATGCTGAGATTTTTCTAACATCATTGCGTAAATATACCATTCATCGCCTTATCTAAGGAACTTATGTTTTTTTTTTCATATTCAATTCTAATGCCTATTTTTTTTTTTTTTTACTTTTCCAAAGGTATATCTGTGGAATATCTGCTACTGGGTTGCTTCACGAACGCCTCTCAGACCATTCCATCCCTAGAGTCAGACAATGCAACATACCTTGATGGCGATTTTGAGACCAGAGAAAATGTGGTCAAGAAATGTGCTTTGGAGACTGCCAAGAAAGGCTATAAACTGTTCGTTATGCACAACTTAAAAGCTTGCCACTCTGGTCCAGATGCACACCTCATCGATTTTACGGATTTGGAAGGTTGCGGTCCAGGAAATGAAGACGAAGTGTACCTCGTGGGAGGTGAGATCATAAAAATCGAATTCGAGCTCTTCACCCTAATCACTCATCTGCTTTATTACATGGCTCCAAAGGGTGTCCATATTTTTCAACGCTTATTCTAGATCTGTAATTGATGGATAGGGTTTTGAGGAAAAGGCAATTTTTCCTTGTCAAGGGATGATCAATATTTAATATAATATGTTAACATGCCGGAAAAGCAACGTATTAGCCGTTAAAACAATGTTCAATTTGGATTTCTATGCCTGCAACTAAAAACAAGCTTTGGTGACCTCCACTTTCTATTTCCTGATTAACAATTAGCAAATTAGAGTTCACCTATTCTGTAGATTCAGAGCCACCTAAGCTTTTGAAGCAACGCAAACGTTGTCGCTTTGATCAAACATTACCAAGGATAAGTTTCAGCCAATTTCAATAACGCTGATCGTGCTTCTCTTTGGCTAGCTAAGTGTGGTGACCTACTCAAAGATGGCCTTATTCATTTATCGAGCTCAACAATCCAAGGATCATCCTACAACTCTTCCTGGCGAGTTCCTCTTTTAGATGGCGACTACTCTTGGTGTCCAAAGGAAGACGACCCAGTCCGGAAACTTAAGGTTGATCTGGGTAAGTTTCTTAAAATAAATGTGGATTTTTAAGGGTAATACCGAGCTCGCTACTGAGTTCGACTTGGGGTAGAGTATAGGCGTGGAAAATGCAAAAACCGTAAGTTCGATTTCTTAGGAAGACTCGGATGATTTCATTCTCCCAGGCACGCTGGTGGTCCTTGACTCAAGTCCTCTAAATTGATGCTCACTGGATTCGGTTGAGACGAGTTAAGCAATTAGGCTACATACACCCTCTGTAAATAGCCGAGTTAAAACGATTTGGACAGTCTTAATAACGTAGGTTATAGTATATGTTAGAGATCGAAATTTTCTCTTATGCTGAAACATTGTTTTCAAGGGCGAGAGACTTATTTGAATAAAGTGACCTTACAAGGTAAAAAAGATTCTGCGGACTATCCTGACAACTACTGTTTTGGTTCCATTGTCAATGGCGGTCAAGAACGAGAGATCATTCGAAACGAATCTACTTGTCTGGTAAGAAATGCATTTAATGATGAAGGTAGTGCATCTAACGCAACCCATCAGTTAGCTAGACAGATTATAAGTTATTTAATCATTTATTAGTTATCAATCGATTGATCGCCAACAAACAACAAAGTAACGAGTTCGGTGACCAACTTAAGAATAACAAGTTTTGGCAAAATTGATACTGCTTTGGCATTGATGTTATCATTTCCTTTATAGATCAGCCTCTCCACTGCTAGTTCAAACGCTAAAACAGAAGTCACACCGAGTCTTGGGTCACTAGAAGCCCAATATTTGAGTTTTAGTCCTTGGAGACCATTCAAGGGTGATGGGTTGTGCCTGAGAGTAGACGTGTTTCGAAAATACAACACATGTATGGCATAATTTATATCATCTCAGATTTTTGTGTTAAATGTTTAAAAGTACGTAGCTACGTCACAATCTGAATATTTGTTCTTCTAAACTAATTGAAATGCCTTTTGCCTTTAAAAAATTCTTTGGCACCGGGAAAAATTCCATGAATTGGCGTAGACAAGATTCTTTAAATCTGTGAATTGAGTTTGATATACGTTCTTGGTTTACTGTTTCTTTGTTTGACTTTATATATGAAAGTAGAAACGATGTTAAAAAAATGTTACAGGATATAAAAAACCAAGCTAACTATTACTATTTTAAAAAATTTTTAGCAGATCGCCAAATTTTCTGTATGACTTATCAATGTTCCATTTTGCCACACAATCGGTATAAAAATTTTTTCTAAAAGTGAATATTTCATTTCATCCTTTGTATCACAGCAACCAAAGTTTCAGTTTTAAGGGAGGCAGGTAACCTCATCATATGCAATCATTCAAATGTTCGCTCAGGATTCTCTTGTCCTCCATTGATCGACGGACCTGTGGCTTGGTGTCCTGATCAATCCGTTGCATTGCCGTTTCATCATCACTTCTTTCAAATGGATCTCAGTTAGTATTTTAATTTCTTCTTCTATACTCGATGGCGAAAACGTTGTAATTTAACGGCCTCTTTGGTCGATGTTTGTTATGTATTAACATAATCTGTGCTTAACTTGTTTCAATAGTCATGGAAAGCTTGGATGACCTCCATCACTTACGACATGCGTTTGATTCCGGCAATTATGTACATTTATACCCGTTAGGCAACCCAGTCTCACTGTTTATGTGTCACGTTTTGGCAATCGAGGGAATACATGCGCGAAACATTGATGGAACAAAGTGTGGAATAGTGCCGTTGAATTATCAAAAGTGGTAGTCGCTAAAAATTTGTTGACGAAAATGTATTGATAGTGATTTTTTCTTACAGGGCAGCCATTCAATATTTCCAAAGTCGTAGTGCAAGGAGCAAAAGATGCAAGCGAATGGCCATACAAGTTTTGCCTTCGCTACGGCCTCAACGGATCGGATTTGAAGGAATTAACTCAATATCAACAAGAATGTCTAGTGAGTAGTTGGACCCTAGGGAGGGGCGAATATGACCTTGTTTAATGTATTTTACCCTACCCCTCCCCCCTCCTCACCTTCGTCAAAGCCCTCGCTAGGCCATTAGCAATCTCGCTTTTCATGCCGTAAGTGATTTGCAATCTCATATTATATCAGTTCTCTCGCTTCGACCACATCAACAGTTCATCTGCCCTTAAAAATATCTCTCCTTTCTAGCTGTTCAAACAAACCAACGAAGACCTGAGAGGGAACAGTAAACGTCCGAGGAAATTCTCAGTTCCTCGACTGGTTCAGTCAGTCAGTGTGCAGCCTAAGTATGCCACATTTGGTACGAATGATGGTTACTGTGTCAGGACAGAAATGACTGGCTGCGTTACAACCACAGTTGATGGAGAGAAAGTTACTGAAGGTGAAAATAATATAATATAATCAATTTTTAATCCAGAGCATAAAACTATTTCTTTCTTAGCGTGAAGCCCTCAGTGGTTACTTCGGTGGTAGGTCTCCTTCCGGCCATTATTTCATCGATTCAAAATGAAGTTTAAATTAAGTTAAGTAGTCAAGCCATATTTTTCATTTATTAAAGATTGATTTAGAAGAGATGACTGGTGAGAATTGTTTATCCACAAAGCGCGTCCGACGGCATAATCGGGTATAATATCTTTATGAAACATAAAATTACTGGTATGGCAAGCAGGTGGCGTGCCGTTTTCAGAACAGACATATTTCTACAGCTAAAGCTGACCCAGAATGCTTGACGTTCTGTGTAATAAACTAGAATCCTCTTGAGTATGACCTAAAATGATCGTGGTATTACTTTTCTTTGTCAATGCAGGATGTACGCACAAGACGACAAGAGGCAAATGCTGTGTGTTTCCTTTCATCTATGAAGGCCAAATGAAATATTCTTGCATTAAAAACAATCACAACCAACCATGGTGCGCAACTACTGACAATTACGACAAAGACAAGCTTTGGGACAATTGCAATGGTACTCGCAACTTTGAAACATTACTGGATATTTTTTGAAGAAGTAACAAAAATATTTTGAAAAAGTTCGCTTTTCCATAGGATAGATAGCTTTCCATATGGTTGTCAATGATGTCAGTAGAAAGATAAAAGCTAAGCGTGGTTAAATATTTATTAATTTCGGCTTCGAAAGAAATTTTATTCTTATGGTGTATCATCGACAACGAGGTTACATAGGGTTAGCGTAAAGACTCCTATTATCCCTCAAAAAGATCAACAGTCGATCGTATAGTCTGATCTTCCGATGCCAATAATCTTTAAAAGAACTGTTGTCCGTGAAAGCGATAGGTATATAAGCAAATGAGAAGAGATCATCACCTGAGTAAAGTGAGGAGCTGTTTTTCAGTCTGGTTCGCGGGAACTAATTGATCAATTCTGCTGCAAAGTCTTTATTTGTAAGACCCAAACCTTCTGCTATAAAAATGTAGGCAGTATAAAATAATGATAATAATTATAATAATAATAAGTTCGCTGGAAGCAGAATTGATATCTAAAATGGCGTTTTGTTGTTGCAGCCACCAGCCCTTGTCACCCAATGGCTTGTCAAAACGGTGGTAAATGCGTGGAGAACTTAATAAAATGGTCATACAAGTGTATTTGTACAGAGAAATATACAGGAAATCATTGTGAAGATGGTAAGTGATAACCACATGTCCATCCATTTTCCTTACAAGGGCTCATCTGGTGTCCCAGGGATCATGTGTTTTCCTTTGAGACCGATGTATTAGAGACCGCAACATACATAATTTCCACAAATTTTATTCTGTGTGTTTTTCTCTCAGATGTAGACGAGTGTTTCAACATTCCCTGTCAGAACGGTGGGAAATGTATCAACAGAAATGGCGATTATCGATGTGATTGTAACCATGGAAACAGTGGCAAGAACTGCCATTTAGGTAAATATATTCGGGCTCCTTACGCTTTCCAAAATGTTGGATAATTTAGGAATATGTAAATGAAAAAAAAATTGCACACATTTTTATTTAAGCAATGTGCATTAACCTAAAAAAAAAATCCTGCATACGTCGCCTAATGTTTGAGGATTTTCACGAATAGATTATTAAAACATGAAGCTAGCGCCAGTAATTAGTTTGTGATAATGAGTATTACTTTGATTTTCAGATTGCAAGGTCAACAAAGTTGATCTGGGGATTCTAATTGATGGCTCTGCTAGCGTGCAGTTCTACGGAAAGGACAACTTTCAGATTATTAAAGATTCTATAAAAACCTTTATACGAACATTCAATGTGTCAAGTAGTTTAACACGTGTTGGAGTTATCGTTTTCTCCACAAATGCCACAGCAGTGTTTAAACTGGACAGTTACACAACTCAGTCAGACGTTGAACAGGCGATTGATAACATAACGTATCCTGCTGGCGGCACATATACTGGAAAAGCCTTAACAAAGGCTGCAGAAGATTTGTTTGGGCCAAACTCGGTACGATCAAGCAATGTTTCCAAAATCCTGGTCGTAGTTACAGATGGTGTTTCCACCGATGACGTCACTCAGCCAGCCGCGCTACTCAAGAACATTAACGTGGTCCCTTATGTTGTTGGAATTGGTTCAAACTATGATGTTTCCCAGCTCGAGCAGATAGCTGTTAATGCCACGAATCGGGTTTTCAAAACTGAATTTAACTCACTTTCGGAAACTTTTATCAGACTTAGAGGAAAGATCTGTCAGGGTATTTATCTTTTTCATAATGTTTGTTTTAATATGAGATTATTGGGGCTTCCTATGATCATTTTCCTCTGTTATTTCATCCGCAGATTTGGATAAATGTGCGGATAATCCCTGTAGGTTTGGTGGTGTTTGTCAAAATAATGGTTTGAATTGTACGTGCGCGCAAGGTTTCCAAGGAGCAGAATGTTCTGAAGGTAGGACGATTAAAATGATGTGTAAGCATGCTTCCATAAAATGACGTCACAGATCTGTTTGATACCATTATACTTTTGCTTTTACTGGTGATATCAAATAATAACAATATCAAACTTCGTTGCACTATTGACAAATATCTCGCACTAGGTCCCTTAGGAAAACAAATGGTTAATTCAGATGTTTCATACGCTCCTAGGAGTTGTGACAATGGGTTTTGATCCAAATTTGTTGTTGTTTCAGTTACCATATTGTCTCTTTTTACACCACTAGAATGTGAGACGTTTTTTTCAATTTTATGCTATCAGATGTAAAAGAATGCTCAAACGTAAGTTCCAACTGCACTTTTGGAAAACGTTGCACTGAGACCTTTGGTGGGTTTGAATGTACATGCGCTAATAGTTCTCTGTACGGTGAGAATTGCACCAGAGGTGAGTGATTTTAAGGAGCTTTATAATTATGATTGTTCACCAAGGAGGAGGTTAATAGTAGTGGAGAATTACCGAGCCAAATATCCACCACTTTCACCAACACTTAGGAGAATAATTACTTTAGCATAAACCACACAATAAAATACAACTTGGTTTATTCCTGCAAAAATTGGTCGGAAATTGAATTGATGGCGCGCGATTTTGTGTCTTCGGAGGTGAATAGTAATTCCTAATCACTTACTGACCAGCCAATCAGCACGTGCGAAAAGCACTATTCACCTGTGTGGTCTATGTGGACTATCTTTATTGCAGAAACAACCTACCTGAGAGTGAAAACATAATGAATTATTTTGTAAACAGCCAAACAAACAGAAAAAAAATTTTAAAAAATGAAACAAACAAATAAAACATAAGAAAAATAGAAACTGGATAGAAGACTAGATTTCTGAATCTAGCTAGTTGACACAAAAATGATCTACTGGTCTACTGAGACGCTGATAATTTCATTGACCAAGAAGTAGACATAACGACGTATACAGAAAAAGAAACACATTAAAATATGCAGACGTACACAATGACCAACTGATATACTATAACCATACCTTAAAGAATAATTAACTTTCTGATTGAATTTTGCTGTTCAGATTGCAGCAACAATGGCTCCACAGTACTGTTTCTTTTGGACAGAGGAAAAAATGTAGGACAAGACAACATAAAGCATCAAATCGAGTTCATCATCTCGGTGGCATCTTCCATTTCTATCGTAGACGTTGCAGTCATTTCCTATGCAACTGATGCTGATATTGTCATCAGACCTGGGCAAGCATCGAATTTAACCGAATTTTCTGAAACTTTACGCAGCGCGAATTATTCCATGGGTTACATGAAGAACTTGGGTGTAGCATTACAGAAAGCTCAAGTGATTGAAGAAATTTATAACCACTCAAAACCAGCAGTCGTAGTTGTGATGATAATGGGGAAATCAAATGATGATGAAGCGCCATATGCGGCAGAATTGAAACAAAGAGGTGTTACTGTTGTAGCTGTACCCTTGGATAACAATTATAATCTAGCAGAGTTGAACTTGTTGGTGTCAAAGCCATCTACGGACCACATTTTGGCGACGGACGTTTCAAATTTGAAGCATTTCGTTAGTAGAACAAGAGACGCGGTTTGCAAAGGTACTTATGACACGTGGCAAGGGTAATCCTTCACTTGTTTTGATTGTTGAGGGGAATAGGAGGGGTCATGTAAATTAGTGGTTATTTTAATTAAACCTTCAAATAAGATTTTGCAAAATGAGACAGTGCTAAAGAGGCAACTCTTGAACAGAGGGGAACAGTGATAGTTAATATTAAAAAAAATTCGTTGATTTCTAGGGACAAACTAATTATTATTTTGGCCGTGATGAGGAACAAAGTTAAGGTTGAGGAAGTTTAAAGACGCATTAATGAGGATGTGTGAACCTATGCTTTGTGTTAGAACTTGTTGTTGCCTTCAGTCGCCAAAAATGCGTTCCCATGGCAGGATTAGGAAATTGTTCTCCTACACCTTTCTTCTGCACGCTTTGTAAGTTTAATTGCGGCCACCAAATTTTTAATTGGTTACTTAAAGAATTACGGGTAAATATCAATAAAGAGGATCATAGATCATACTGCAAGAAAGAAAACTTGCCAAACAAAAAAGTGTTCATTAAATTATAAGAGTTGAAACATGATCATGTATGTTACAGGGAAGTTTTTCTGAGACAGGCTTCTCAAAATTATACGAAAAGACAGTCTCTCTCTCCTTCTTATCGTCAGCTTGGAAACCATGCACCAGCTCAGACTGTCCGCCTACGCACGAATGTAAAAATAATTATGGACAAGATGGAGGGTTTCGCTGTATTCCGCGTGAGTAAAAGGAAAAATATAGATATTATACTTGCTTGATAACCTGAACTTTGTAGATGAAAGACCACATGGGGATTCTTTCTTATTGATGGCATTCACTTCAGGTTAAGGAGAATAATGGACTCTGTAAGTGACTCATGTCCTTTCATTTAAAAGCCCACTCTCAGCTTCACAAAGCCTCAAAACAAGATAAAATCCATATTTTAAAATAAAGTTTTGACTCTCTTTAAATTTAATTTAAGAAAGAACAGCCTGGTTAAATGCAACATTTCCGCGAAAAGCGTTTCTTTCTATCACGACACTGGCCCTTATATTTGGGTATTTAAATCCTCTTTATCTGGCAGTTTTGGTGAACTCTATGAACACCAATCGTCGTTCGGGGTTCTTTCATTTTTTGCAGTCATTAAACATGTTGAGTTGAAACCGCTGATATTTGAATCAACAAAAAACCACTTTTTTTTTTCAGCCCCCTCTGTGTGTGAGCCTAACCCTTGCAAGAATGGAGGAAAATGTCAAATTGTCGGCTACAACGTGCACAATTGCACTTGTCCAGCGGGAATCGGAGGTGTGAACTGTACGGAAGGTCTGTATTACGTTGGTTTTTAACCTTGCAGATAAAAATCAAGTCAACTTACTAGCCAGAAAGCCTATCGGTCAAGAGCAATGACATGTCTTCCAAAACGATACAACATAAAAGTCTAATTGTAACGAATCATATGAAAGTAGAGTGGCTAGAAAGAATCAAAGAAACACTCAAACAACAAATTAAGAGGGACGCAAATCAGCATTAAACCTTAGTGGTCTGAGGTGGAGTGCCGTTGTCTATAGATAACTTGTCAGTATCTTACAAAAGCGATCAGGCAGCAATGGAGGTAACGTAACATTACCTCTCTGAAAGCATACACCTAGAGTTCACTGATAATTTAGGAAGTTTTCTCATTAACTTAATAGGACGTTCTTATGTAATTGAGTATTTTATTTTTGCGACACATGCATTGCAGATATCGTAAACGAATGTGATTCAGCACCCTGCAAAAACGGCGGGACTTGCCGGGATCTCCTGGGGGCTTTTACATGCAATTGTACAGAGGAATTTTCTGGAAAGCAGTGCGAAATTGGTAAGTGCTTTTTGCATGTCTCATGCGTTGGAAATAGCTTAGAATATTTCCAGTTTTTCATTTACGTACCTTATTACTCACGGACTGACTGACTAACTTGCAACCAGGCCCTCATTAAGAATGATGCATGATGCGCGTTTCTCTGTCCGCGTGAGGGTTGGAGGCAAGGCGCTGGAGTCAGGGAAAAAGTTTGCAAGAGGTCAGGCGTTGTCAATGCTATTTTCGAAAAAAAAAAAAAAGCTCGTGCAATCATTAACTGGGAGGACCTTCTCGCAGTCTTCTGACTGAGTGATTGAATGGTTGGTTGAATGTTTTAAACCAAGAAAGGATAAAGTTTACGTCCTCTTTTGTCTTCTCTCCAATGAATGATCTGGCAAACTGTATGTTTGAAAAAGTGTCACTTTTTTCCGCTACCACGCCCTTTTCTATAAATTTGGAAAAGATGCTGAGTGTATCATTCAAATAAATCTTTAAATTTATGTCACCTTTTCTTTTGCTTTAGCTTGTTCAAGTCAACGATTCAATTTGGTCTTCTTGGTCGACGGATCTGGTAGCATAGAACTCCAAGGAAAGGGAAACTTTCAACGTTCCAAAGACTTTTTGATTGCTCTCGTACGAGAATTTGAAATTGGTCCGGACCAAACCAACGTTGCCACTGTTCTGTATTCGCAACACTATCGCATCATCCATCACTTAGATACCTTTAAAACATTGGTTGGAGTAGAGAACGCAATTCAAGGCATGGGTTTTCCATCAGGTGGTACACGTACTGGGCAAGGTTTAAACGTGATCCGCAACGAGATATTAAAAAATTTAGGAGTTGCCAGAGAAGATGTTCCTAAAATTGTGGTTGTTTTGACTGATGGATTGTCTAAAGACAGTGTAGTTGGTCCATCTCGTGCTCTCCGAGATATGGGAGTGACAATTATTACTGTCGGTGTTGGCTGCTGTTTTTACAAGCCTGAGCTAAACGAGATGGCTACGGATCCTGATAAAGATCACGTTTTTGAAGCTAAATTTTCAGATCTACCAAAAATTGTGGAGTCTCTTCGTGAAAAGATTTGTTCTGGTAAGCAGATAGATGTATTTCGAATTAAAAGACCTTTGTCTCAAGGAACCTTTGATATGGAAGCTAGCATAAGTTCAGTATATTTTGGTTTTTTCAAATGAGTTGATTATGCAAGTTACCCCCTCTGACGCAGCCCCCTTTGCTCGTTAATATCATTTCACTCAGGCTGCTGTCAATTAAGGCATTCCGCTGCCAAGTAAACGTATGAATGGCTACTGGTGGCATGTTCGATGGAAGACGTTTTGCCTATATTTTTAATATGTTTTTCGTTTTTCAATACAAAGTATATTGCTGCGTAAAAACGCAGCATTAGATGGGCGTTTTATTCCCTATGTATGCATTTTCATCATTTTTTTGTTCCATTACACTGCAGCTGTAGACGTTTGCAGAATTAATCCGTGTGAGAATAACGGAACTTGTACCAGCTTACGGGATGGTTTTCAATGTAATTGTTCATCAAGTTGGACAGGAAAGAATTGCTCAATTGGTGAGTTAGACAAAAACGTTTTATGGCTTCTTTTCTTTCACTTGTACCTGACACATTTCTTATTCAGGATTTAACAGTACTTGTAAAAGGTTCCTTCAAATAGCTTCACCTGTCTTTAATGACACTACGTGCAACTACTTAAGCAGTGCAGTTTCAACTGAGTATTGAAAAGAATTCGTACATTGCTATATTTTTTTTAATTGCTTAGTGGTTGTGCTAGAAAAAACTCCCATCGCCTTCTCAACCAGTCAGTCACTTATGACTTAGAGCATAGCAAATATCTATTACACCCTTTTCTCGGGCTTCAGGCGGTTTGTTGGTTGCCTTCTTTAAAATTTTTTTTTATTTTTGCATTTTCCGTAGATGTCGATGAGTGTTCTACCAATGCGACAAAATGCAATGAAAACCAAGCTTGTCATAACTATCCTGGAGGATCAAGTTGTCTTTGTAGTGACAGCCGATATGGTTATAACTGTACCATGCGTAAGTAAACAAAAGTGATATGTAATGTATTCGTTTTCATTCTAAGGTTATTCTTTAGATGGGAAGAGATTACTCAAGCGCACGGTAGCTTGGAGGCACTCGTCCATTAACAGAACTGTATTACGCATTGCGACTTTCGAAACTGAAATTTCAAGAATTTCCTTTGTGATATTGATTTTCTTTTTATAACCAATGTGATTATTTAAATATTGGTTCTACGGTGCTAATAGAAATGCTCTCTAGAAATGAGGGTTTCAAATGGCGGTAACAGATCCGTGATTGCTCTCAAGGCTGAAATCATGACTTAAGGTTATGTTCGTCTTTCTTTTCATTTTGCTTGTATTTTAAGGTTGCAATCAAACCAAGGCTGATGTTGCTTTCCTCGTGGATAGCTCTGCCAGCATTAACCAGGGAGACAAAAATAACTACCAACGAATCAAAGATTTCATCGCAGGATTTGTCAAGTCTGTAGTTATTGGACAGAACGACACCAGAATTGGACTTGCCACCTTCTCCTCGCAAAACAGTTTTAGAGTTCATTTCAATTTTACTGAATATTCCGCCACGGAAGAGTTGGTCAATGCTGTACAGAGCATTCCTTATGACGCAGGTGGCACTTATATGGGCGCCGCATTGACTCGAATAAGAACAGATATCTTCAGCATGGCCAGAGAGGGAATTCCCAAAATTCTCATCATTTTAACAGACGGTAAATCGCAAGACAAAGTGTCAGTTCCATCGAAAAGTCTACGCGATGAAGGTGTTCATATCATCTCAGTTGGTGTTGGTAATGCTGTGTACAGTGAGCTCGCAGATATGGCGTCTGAACCTGATAATGAGAATATCTACAAAGCAACGTTTGATTCTCTTAGTAACATTTTTGGAACTTTACAGGAAACTGTTTGCAAAGGTAATTGGATTTTTAGAATAAATACGTGGGTGAGGTTACTCTTTTCCGGTAAGGGGAACTTGCAGAAGCGTTTTTTTGCATGTCAGGTTTTTATCATCATTTCTTGGGACCAGAATAACATTTTCTCCTTTTCTCCTTGACTTTTTATAGAACAGATAATTAGGTGGATTACACTTTTCCAGTAAGGGAACTTACAGAAGAGATTTCTTGCATTTGAGCATGTCAGGTTTTTATCATTTTTTTATAGGAACAGTATGACTTTTCTCCACAATTTGTTTACTCTCTCTCTCTCCAGTTGTACAAAACAATACAGACCCTTGTCTAAGCAATCCATGTCAGAATGGAGGAAAATGCGAACGTTTCACCAATAAATTTAATTGTACATGCTTAGCTGGTTTTACTGGAGACAAATGCGAGACAGGTGAGTGAAAGTCGTTTTTAAAATATTGACAAAAAATAGACGTTTTACTTCAAAAAATAAATGTAATGTCCGGCTTATTGGCTGATAGCTGCCATCGATAACGACTAAACAAAAAATGTTTGCCTTTTCGCATTCCTCAGCTGTTAGGTTCTTTACTTTGTTTTGCCTTTAGTTAAAAAACTCGACAAGTGTACTCCTTCGCCGTGCTTAAATGGCGGACGATGCGCAAACACTAATCAGACCTTCCGCTGCTTCTGTGCACGTGGTTACTATGGAAACCGCTGCGAGTCAGGTAAGTAAATTTCTAACTTAACTATAGATCAAAAGCAGTTTTACTTGAGTTATACGCAACGTTTTCATATCACACTACTATTAAAAAAAAAAAATCACCATCATCATCGTCGTCATTATCACTCCCACCTGAGTTATACGACATGATGTGTCAGCGATTGCTTGTCATTAATCGTATTTTCTTTATGATTCTCATATCACGCATCAGCACACACACACACAAAACCACGCGTCATCATTTCTCACCTTCAATAAGGGCATACAAGTCTCGTATAGCTTTATATATTACCAAAGTTATCGTTATCACACAGGTCGTGTCATCGCGGACCTCGATTTAAAGACCGGTGCCATGTTTTTGATTGCTCAGTGTTTTTAACAACACCTTGCTGTACAGTTTACGTTATGTACCACTGTCAACTTGAAATAATATTTGCGTTTGATCATTCAGGCTGTGGATTTAGAGAGCTAGGATTGAAGATACCCAATACGCGTCGAATCCCAGACAAACACGTGACTTCATCTTCACAGAGGGACACCGGTCACTCTGCTCATCGCGGGAGGATTGGTATCGAAGTTATGGGAACGTGGGATGACGGGTGGTGCTCATCGCAAACAGACACAACGCCTTACATGCAAGTGTTCTTTGGTGCGTATATGTATTTCATCTCTTCAGATCAGGAAAACGTATTAAATAAAGAAATGATGGGCGTATGAAATTTCTAACGTTTAAGTGACATGGGAACGAATTAGTTAGAAATTGATATTCTTATAGCGCGTTGAAGAGGTTCACGTGGCATCATGGAGGTTTAGGACCATTTAATTATTATTCCAAGATGATAGAAATAGGAGTTATCGAAACTGCTCATCTGAAATGGATTAGACTTGTATCACACAGGGAAAAAATGAAACGGCACAAGCACTTACTCGATTTCTTGTTCTGTTTTGTTATTTTTTGCTTTTTCCATTTTTTTGGGTCAACTTCATCTAGTGCCTTTGTCACCCCCCCCCCCTCTCCCCCCTCCCATCAACCACTCACCTATGAACCTTTTTTTATCGAGCAGAATACCTGACAAATATCACTGAGATTGAAACCGAAGGAGTCGAAGATGAAACGAATAATTTGTGGGTTGAAAGTTACTACGTTTCAACGAGCAACAGCACAGAGGGGAATTCTTTTGTCAACTACACTGAAGATGGAAAAACCAAAATTGTAAGTAGATGATTATTATAATCTGACATTTTTAACGTCCCCCAAAATAAGTTTAAAGTATTTGTTACTCGATGCTTGATGCTCGATGCTCGATCTATGCGAGTAGCGAGACCAATAACCGAGTATCAAGAGTCTAGTGACGATAATCAACTACAGAGGTTCGATTGTAAAGGATTTAGTCAATCAATTTTCTAAAATGTTTCATCTCTGATTTTTTAGTTCAAAGCTAACACAAGGATTTCCGGGAAAAATGTTTCTCTCCACGGAACAAGCGCTCATTTTGTTCGAATTCATCCACTTAATCACACTGGATTGTTTGCCTGTTTGCGGGTAGCGATGTACGGTTGTGACAAAGGAGGTATCTATAATCTACTTTACGCGTTTTTCCTGTTTTTAATAATTTTATAAGCAGATGCATGTTTTAGTTTTAAAGAATTAAAAGATCTTAGCAGCAATAAATCCGGAAAGGATCGGAACAGAAGCAAACAGCGAATCAATCATATAATTTACATTATTTATTTGCTCATCTACTGATTTATTTGATCAATTTTTTAAAATATCCATACATTTATTTGTTTATTTTTTATTCCACTTTCATTGTCTAACCAGGCGACTTCCAAGAATTCCCAACCACTTTGGCGGAGAGGCTTGACAATGCTGCTTTCGCCAAGGACCCACTGTTTGATACGCATTTAGCTGGTACGTTCCAATCTGTGAAGTTTACCATAATAATCAGACAATTTCGGTTTTCGTAATGTTTCTCTTTGTTATTTTGTTTTCTTTTTTGTTTTTGTTTTTGTTTTTCACCATCTAGAGTAAGTTTTTAACTCGTTGATTTCTATTTTTCAATTTGAAACAGCTATACCAATTGCAGTGTTTGTATTCCTCTTATTGAGTTCGTTATTTTTCCTTTTGCTTCCTCTTAGGTAAGTCAAACAAATATTCCTAACAAAAATAATACTTATGGCAGATTTGTCACGAAAGGCATTGCATTCTTGTGTTGATATAACATACACATATGTAGTGAAGCCATGTTTTTTTTACTGGTTATTGGAGGAAATCTTAAGTAATTATGTACGTTATCAGGCACAGTAAAATTTGGTTAACTCTCGTTTTCCTGGTTAAATTGAGCGGACTTGAGACACGCACCAATTCCTGCCTGTTCTCTGTGGTGCTTCCGCCGATGATAGCCTAATAAAAATCTTCAACGAAGTGACTTAGTCATCTGGTCTTGAATCAAAACAAACTAATGACAACTCAATGGATTATTCAGATAACGTAAAGAGCAGATCAATATCAACAATCAATGTTAACGATTCGCGAATAAATTCAGAATATCCATTCATCCATTTCACTCGTCCTTTTCAGGACTCCTTCTCCGTCAGGGCCGTCAGTGAGAGAAAATATAATTCGATTCGAACAAGAACCACCTCAGCATGGCGCTATTCCGCTTGTCCCTACATATGAAGTTCAGTCCCTCAGCATGGAACTCGGAGAAGAGCCTATTTTGCAAGTGGAGGGTGTTAATACCGCCTCGAACGACGCAATTTTCTCCTACGACAACAAGGTAACCCAAACAGCTAGAAAATAATTCACGAAGGGACCATTTTTATTGCTATCTTTTCAGGTTAGAACACAGGAGAGAAAATTGTGACTGCAGTCCCTCCAACAAGTCGAGACCGAAATTTAAACCATTTTACCTGTTCCTCGAATTCAAATCTAAGGGAATTGTTTGGCACATGTTCTGAGCTTTCAGATTCAAGGATCAAGTCTCCGACCTTTCCCATTTACGTTATGGTTGCTTTATCGTGTGAACTGTCAAAGAGACTCTCAGGGACATTCGTTTTTTCTGTATAAGGAAACTTACAGAATACCATATAAATTCAAGGGGTGTTTCTCAAACAGCGATGTATTTCCTTGTGGTAGAAGCTACCCGGACGGAATTTAACTTGGAACTTAAATTTTGTTGCTAAGAATGCCTTATCTAGTGTATGCTTATTAAGTTCTTGTCTCTTTAAATCTCTTCCTCCAGATTTTCAGTTTCGACCGTCAAGTGGGTTTAGCTAGCCAAGGCCAGAGCAATCTCCTATGAGCATCTGAGAACGGTTAATCCTTAAACCCTAACATCAGTTTACGTATTCTCCATACTGTTCTACATACATTTCCTAAGATGTCGACAAGGAGAATTTGTTAAACAAGCAAGAGCTTTTTTAGTGAATGATCATTTCCTTTTACTCTCGTGACCCTAATGTGTTTATCAGAGGTTATATTGCGAAGAGATTCTAGTCACTTTATGGCAGTCAAAGGGTTAATGGTGATTGTAAAAAATTTTCCTTCCACATCTTAAAATTCACAACACGCCATGGTACAATTTGGCATAATTGGAGCCAATTTAGCTATTTTTGAGATAGAAATATGGCTTGACATGTATAATTCAAAATGAAAATTTATAAACATATTTTTAGTTGCAATACACTGCTATATATTAATCATCAAAGGAGATGACTTTTCCTGCAGATTCTAACAGATATAGAAAGAAAAAGGATATCGCTAAAAATGTAATTGTCTTAAAAATCCTGATGCAATTTCATGAGAGATCAAATTACTTTTTTACGTTCGGTAAATCTAGTTTTCTTTTGTTTTCAGTATTTTGTATTATTGTCCTGTAGTTGTATGATGAATGGAAAATGAATTAAAATTATGTAAGGCTCTTTTAACAATAAAGATGCGTATTCTCGAAAAGGAACATCTGTTTTGAATTGAATTCCAGGTGGGGTGTTTCGCTTTTAAAAACATCTGAGGGAGGGGGGAGGGAGGAGGAGGTGTAACACTAACATGTCCTAATAAGACGCTTACACTTCAGGCTAACTGAATATCGTTGTAACGAACTTTTATGTCTCAATGATCGCAAATAACTGCTTGTTATACAAAGAAGACAAAAAAATAGCCGAATAGTTAACAAAAAAAAAAAACAACAACAAAAACAAAAAAAACCAGCTCAGCTACTGAGAAAACGAACAATACTTAAACGAAGTTTACAAGCAAGGCATAGTATGCAACACAAAGATTGCATATAACTTACATCGCATTGGAATGCTCTGATGTATCGAAAATAATAAGGGTATCAGTGGTGGGTTGATGAAGCAAAGCCAAGTAGACAGCAATGATGTCAGGTTTTACGCCTTAAGGTGGCTTAATATGGTTTCTCTACCTTCAAGCTCTAATTCTTTGATCAATCGATAATACCCTCTGGCAAGATCCCTCGAAACGACTTTAAAAAATGGTGCGCAATTATTTCTTAACACGCTCTGACAGTAAGTAATTTTACGCACAGGGTTACCATTGCAATGCGACAGTCTCTTAGAAACACTCTTAGTTTAGGCCTCGTGTTTCTGTACCTTGAAAACCAGTTCGGTAAAGTTTTCATTTATCATTGAAAATACGGCTTAAAGGCATCATAAACAATGAAAACGTTACATTAAGGGAACCTGTGGGCTCCCAGAATATCTGTCTCTCCAATATCGATGACCGATATAATAATGAAAGCAACTAACCATTGAAATCTCTGGTGATGCAGCCCCCGTTGCCTTTTTCCATGAGTTTTGACCGAAGACTTCATCTGGAACACAGAGTAACGGTGCAAACTCCTAATAATAATTATTTGTAAACGACAGAAGGAACACAATTATAAGAAAAATGAACTTTGAATCGAAATAATGGTGAAGATGATTGTCAACGAAGATTTATTATACAGAGCACTTCATCAGCAGCCTTTGAGACAGCTGACTCTTAAAACGAGTAACCATGTTATCAATGTTCAAACGGTAACCAAAAAAAGAAAACTTTCTTTGAATTGCTCCTCTGGGAATAAATTGATTCTTTTCTAACGAAGTGGACGAAAAAAACCAACAAAAAAGAAGATAACAGGTACTTTACATGTATTTCAGAATCCAAAACCGTTTTCTATAATCTTTGATGATTTCACTTGGAATCGAGCCAATAAGAAGACAGAAACATTGTGGGCGGACAACCATCTGACTCCACTTAGAGTAATATCTGAACAAGCAAGTTGAGTTAGGAGTTTATAACAAGTTCTGTCATGACACCCAATTCAACACACTAATATTCTATGTACGCCATCACGACCTACATTATGTAAGCGAAAAGGACTATGGGACATGAGTGAGAACCGCCCATGTCGTTACAAAAAGCGTGCTTTGATCAAAGTCGTGTTCAGAGTCAATCCTATTGTTTTGTTGGTCGTCAGACCCCAAACAGCACAAACACGGTTAAAAATTCAAACGGAAGGTAACTGAATCATTATATTTTATGATTTGATACAACACCGCTAAGTTTTAAACGTTCAACGTGTTGCAAATGAATATAATTACCTTTGGCGATAAATATTTCGAAAGAGAAATCTTTAGTGAAAATGATTGCTCGCAGCGTAAGTATTATTTCTAGGAAAAGAAAAGACGAGAATGTATACATATATAATTGCAATAATTGTAATAATGATGATATTCAGTAGAAGAAATAAACAAACAACAATCATACCGGCAATAATTTTTGAATGTTGATAATCTATAGAGGATAAATATGTACGCAGCTTAAATATTTTACACAACGATGGCTGATCAGCCAATTAACATTTTGTTCTTTCTGTCAATCACATATTAAGTTTATGACATCGTTCTTTCAAATAAACCAATCATACGGTCGCCCCTCGACGTTTGCATCTATCTGGTGACAAATACCATAAAGTTTAATGACGTTTTAGATTATTTAAGTCGACAGCTGTCAAAATGTACCTGTAGTCCTTTTGCAAGCTTCTGAAACTTTAGCATTTACAACAGTTTCTTATTATCTTTTTATCTCATGTCTATCGAAGCCGTTTGACCAGAATTAGAATCACTGCGTGGACAAAAAATAATGCCACTTCAAGGCAATAAGTTTGAAAATAATCATTTAATTACGAACGGAAGGTGCACAGAAATAGGAGTAATTACTGCGAATAAAAACAACGGAGATGATGATTATTAGCGAAGAGTAATTATGCAGAGCACAGATACAAAAGCTTGACAACCGAATTGTAAACTATTAATCATGTTTTTAATGTTCCAAACGGTAGCAGAAAAAACTCACCTTTCTTGGTTTTTGTCGGATTTGCATAACATCCGAGCATTCTCCCAACCTCCCGCGTGTCTAGAAGTCTCTCAACCTTCTGAGTTTTTAGATACGGCTACATAAACACGGAAGTGTTCTTAATTGCTTTTACAAAATATTTCTTTTTAATAACACGATAAATGAAGGAAAATGTTGTGCATTTAGTTCCTGTTTGATATAGATTTTTTAAATACATGCCCTGGACGACAATTCTCCCCATTAACCATCAAATCGCGCATCTGACGACAAAGAAACCCTTTAAATTTGCGCTATAAAATTCAAGTCAAGTTAAAATTTGTGGCTAGCGCTTGTTCGTACTTTGGTAAAAAAATAGCGAAGTATCTGAAATATGCAGTTACTTAGGAAAGAACTTCAACTCACCAATCGGCCAATGCTATCTGGATTATTTTATCAGTATATCTTGTGAAGCTGCAAGCATCATTTATATTGTGATTTTAAGGGTTTTAATTGGCTGAAATGCCTTGATTAATTAAATATTATATATAGGTTGGCTAAGGTAACGTGTAACAACGAGTTAGACTCCCAATCGGAACAACTACAACTTGTACCTAATTCACCATTTGAAATCATAATTAGTTAAACCGGGTTTAACTGATTGAAAATCAAACACAGAACTGAATTTTTCACGGGATTAAAGTTGTCGCTAACTTGTATTTCGATTTGTCAATTTTTAAGTCGACAAAAATCGTTTGAAGCACCACAGTTTCTTTAGAAACTTACCTTCGTTATTCCTACATCGGTTGGTGCAGCTTCTATGAAGAAAACGAGAATGAACTGTGTTTAACAAAACAGCTTTAAAACATGTTTAAGCTTTGTTGTAAAAGCCCTTTTCGTAATTCCTTTATGAATAGCTGATTTCCTTCTCATGATTTAGAATAACTAAAAAAGTCTGCCTTGCCAAAACAGCAGACGATTTTTTTTTTCTGAGATTTTGATGAGAGCCTCAGAGAACCCACCAACCTACAAATGGCGGTTACCGGTTACCTCGCCACCAGGGAGACTCGCCACCAGCGAACTCGCCACCAAGGAACGATCTCGCCACCAACGTACTCGCCACCAAGCGAAGTCTTCTCGCCACCAACCACCAATAAAGAGATAAACTAGAATAAAGTAGTCGAGGAGAGAAGGATGTTCGAACGAGCACAATTCAAATTGGCTGATACGTTTGTGCGCTTGTCTGTATTTAAATTATGACCTTCAGCGACGTGTTAGATGTATTCCGTTCCTAACTCATTGACATCGAAACGTATCGTGTTTGTCTTTTGCACGTAAGCGAGGAGAAATTGCAAAACTCGATGCGAGGAATAAAAACTTACTTGAGAGAAAATGAAACTTCATGGGAAGAAATAAGTGATGAAATGAAACTCGATAGCAGTTGCATTAAAACTAGATGCGAGAAATTGTCAAGTCGGTGCGAGAAATTGTAAGCGTCGATGGACTGAAGCTTTCCTAAGGCAACTACAGTTGTTTCCCAAGGAGAGTTAACAGTTCGAACCAATCGATTCCTGAGTTTGTTTGCTTATTTGTATGAAAATTTCGACGTCTGTGATGTTATAAGTTCGAACGAATCGACTCACGAGTTTGTTTAATTATCTGTATGCAAATTTCGACGTCTGTGATGTTGTCAAGGGAACTTATTCAATATTCGGTCGAATTATATTACCCAGAGAGATACGAACGAAATGTTGTTGCACAACACCTTTAGTTTTGAACGTGCTATCGACAACATACGTTTATAAAGTTTGAGTACAGACAAGCGAACAAACTTATCAGCCGAACATCCTACTCTCCTCGACTAATCTCTTTATTGGTGGTTGGTGGCGAGAAGACTTCGCTTGGTGGCGAGTACGTTGGTGGCGAGATCGTTCCTTGGTGGCGAGATCGTTCCTTGGTGGCGAGATCGTTCCTTGGTGGCGAGATCGTTCCTTGGTGGCGAGTTCGCTGGTGGCGAGTCTGCTTGGTGGCGATGTAACTGGATACCCAAATGGCATAGGCAACCAAAACCACTTTAAATGATTTTGGTTTCCCAATAACAGTTAGTCGCCTTGTTGGCCAGTTAGTCAGACTAGCCATTTTTTAGACTGTTAATCAGCTAGCTAACTAGTGAATCATTTGTTCCATTATTCAGACAGTCAGCTCAGGCTGTCTGTTTGCCAATCAACTATACATTTAGTCAGTTAGCCAATCAGTCATTCGGTCAGTCAGCCTGTCAGTCAGCTACTTGGTCTGTTAGCCAGTCAGTCAATCAGACAGTGAGTCGGAAGGTCTAAATGTAATTTTTTCCAACAGGACATTAGATCTCACTGGGTCGATTCTGTTAATAAATTTCTCCAATCCGGATATCCTGAGTCTTTATCTAATCAAGACTTCTAGAAAAGAAACAAAAATGAAAGTATTCGAAAATAAATTACATTTAAAATACATTAGAGATGTTTTGAGTGCTCCAGATAGAGAACAAACCTGAGCTTAATATATGTAATATCCGTCTTTCTTTTTAGGAGCCGCCATCACTAAAATAAAATGCTCTCAGGGTTTGATATACGCCATTACTAAATGTGACAGACAGAAAGACCCTTAGAGCGAGTATTACGGTCGCTCAAAAGTAGCAAATTCATTCGATGAAATTGTTTTCGATAAAAGTTTTTTTCAGTGTACTTTAGCACCAGGTAAATGTTAATTCTTCAAGGCAGCGTGTACGCCAAGGTCAAACTTCCACACAGGTGCCAGTATTAATCGCATGAAAGCATGTAATTAAGAACAACGTACATCATTTAGTATCCGTAGTGCAAAAGACGATAGAGAACTTGCGATGGCGAGGCTCTTGAAAGCAGAAAATCTAATCCGACTAATTATCGAAGGGTTTGAAGTCTTAAATTAAAGTTTATTGAGAAATATTAAAATGGCCTCCTTACAGAAGATTTTGAAAAAAGAAGATGGTCTCAGCGCCAAAAAAATCAACGAAAGAAAAGCACTTCAGGAGAGGCACGTAGTTACCAGCCTTATGACATTTGCACCAGAAGTTTAAAGTAGTTCTGACATGCGAAAGACAATGATAGAACAGCTGGTAAAATATATGTTACGTCTGCTTGGGTGCGTTGTTTTTCATCCTGGTACCACTATAAGAGGTTCGCGAACATTCTTAGATTACTTTTTTATTGACAAGTGACACTGATTTGACGCAGGATTCTAGTTACCTCTGCTATGGACGGCTGTGATGTGCTTGTGTTGCACGTGTTCAGAGCTTATGCTTGCTTGTGGCATTAATATTTGAACACACTGTACTTGGAAAAAGCCAGGTATCTTCCTATACATCTTATATATGTTATAAAATTGAATGTCATGTATTAGACATTAAATGAATTTGCTTCCACATCGGAAAACTACATAGTTTTCTTGCACAAAAAAAGGGCGACAGTATCAAAGGTTTGATGGCCGTAGACTTTTTCTCTCTTATTAATTGTCTAGTCATGAAAAACTATCAACACACTGCATTTAAAAACAGCCAGGTATCTCATTTTTGTTATAAAATGGGATATCATGTATTTGACATTGAATGAAATTTTTTCCAAATCAGAAAACGAGGTAATTTTGTTAACACGAAAAGAGGGCGACAATATCAAATGTTTGATGGCTGTAGAATTTTGTCTTTCTTATTTTTATTCAGATAATTTTTTTTGCATAGTTTATTTTCTTTCTATTCAGTTTCCTTTCTGGTCAGAGAATTTTTCCTCAAAGGATGACAATGAAGCTTTTACTCTCTGTGGCTTTATCAGGTAAGGAATGTTATCTTTCCATATATCTTTTGCACCACGGAAACGAAGCAGATCGGTATATGTAACGGTCCTCAATTTGCGCTTGGCGCTTGATATTACTTTGTAAACAAGCGCTGATCATGACCTTTCTTCCCTGATAAGTCATGATTCGTGTTGATTTACATTTACTGCTGTAGATATACGATAATGCACGTTTCTAAAATACTGTTCTGTAAGAAAATGTTTGGAAAAAACCTTGCTTATCCAATTAAAAATTCGTCCTAAGTGTGAACTGAAGCTCGAGAATCTCATATTAACACTTAAAAATCGTTTTAGCGGGGCCATGTACTGATTCCGTTCAATGACATTTCCCCTTGGATTGTAGTCTGTGCCATAGTTCTGGGTGATTCTCAGTCCTGTTCGAACGAAGGCGCCAAAGTCTCAGACTATTGCGGTGATACATGCTACTGCATTGGTGGTCAAATTCAAAACTGCTGCCGAGTGCGAAAGGAGTTTACTTCTATGACGGAAGCCGAGCGGATACTGTACGTCAACACCGTTTGGAAAGCTTCAACCGATCTTCAATTTCAAAATGAGTACCAGAAACTTATATCCATGCACCAAAGATTGTTTCCAACAGGAATTCATCAAAAGGATCAGTTTCTACCATGGCATCGTTGGTGAGTAACTAATTTTACGAGCTGAGGGTTCTGGACTAAGGCAAGATAATTCACACCCACGATGCTTCCTTCCGCCAAGGAGGATAAATGGCTGTGAAGTAGATCCAGAGGAAGTAAAACCGGGGAAAAGCAATGGAATCTGAGCCACTCTGTTTTGATATATCATCCTTCCCTCCCCCTTCCTTTTACCTTCCTCTCGTTTCAAACCATGCACATTTACACATTTATTAAACATCTTTAGATTATGTGCTGTACAGTCTCTTCAACCACTCCAAATGTTCTCCTTCAAGTTAAACTCTACATTTATATGCATAATGTTTAACACGATGCGGTTTATTTTATTTTATTAATTTTTCTTTCCAAGGTACATTCTTCAATATGAAAACCTGTTGCGCCGAGTCGATTGCCGAGTAACCGTGCCTTATTGGGACTGGAGTATTGTCTCCATGACACCCTGGCACACAGACAAAACAAGAGTTTGGTATAGCGGACCCTCTGGATTGGGAGGCAATGGCATTACACCATCACGCTGTGTTCAAGATGGAGTCTTCGGTCAAGACTCATGGACGAAGACAAACGGGGGTTGCATCACCAGAGATTTCAATGGTTAGTTGCCTTCGATATTATGTCGTTTCCTCGCTCCTGTCTAACCTTGGCATGAGGGGGGGAGGGAAGGGTGCGCCTACACGTAGGCTATGTGGGAGAATGAGAGGTTCCCTTAATGCTTTCATCATTTAACCCGGTACGCGGAATTACTTCCAGAGCGTGTTAAGTCGTTTCAAGGGATCTCATCAGAGGGTGTTATTATCGTCTGTTCAAAGAATTAGAGCTTGAAAGTAGAGGATGCATTTTAGGCCACCTTAAGGCATATAACCGTGTCCGCCTCTGATCTTCTGTCTTCTGCAGGTTTTACACCTGACATCATTGCTGTCTACTTGACTCTGCTTCATCCTCCCACCGCTGATGGCTTCAACATTTTCGAAAGGGATCTTCGAATTAACCTCCACGATACAGTTCACTGTAGGATAGGCGGTGACATGTGTCTTGTCACCTCAGCTGAAGCTCCCGAGTTTTTCCTTCATCATGGCTTTATCGACAAGATCTGGTCAGATTGGCAAGAAAAAAGCAGAGATCATTTGACAGCCCACTTTTGTAATATAACGAACCCAATGATTGGAACAGGATACCGACCTGGAGATTTTCTCGACAACTCAAATCTTCCCGATGTTGAAAGGCCAGGGTGGCCAACCTGTGTTTTATACGACGACCCAACAAATCCTGTCTACCGGCAGGTCATGCAGCGTCTTCAAGGAATGACACGCGAGCAAATTCTTGAAATCCCTCGGCACTCGTTTAAGCCTCTTACTGGTCGCCAAATGAGGTTTTTCCATATCAGCCCACAGGAGCAAAACCAAGCCAGACAAGATCTGCGAGAATTGGAACCGCGCCACCAGCTTAGGGGGGAGGCTGGACTTACCGGAATGGACAGGAACATCGGTTTCAAGATGGAGTCTCTTTCCGCGACCTTTGGAAAGAAGCGCTCAATTATTAAAAATAAGTAAATCCCCTATGCGTGGTGGAGGGTGGAGGGTGGATGGCTCAGGAAAACTGTAGAAAACATATTTGACAAATTTCTCGCATTGTATTATGATGCTTTCCACTAAAAAAAAGAAACACAATGATACATTTTAAAAGCAATTTTTTCGCTTAATGGCCCATGCACTTACAATCATCATGGAAGCGTTGATGTGCATTTTAAATTTGCTGCAGTCGTTGAGAGAATGAATAAATCTAGACAGTCTAACGCTAATTTCTGCTGGAGTTTCCTTCGTCACAAGAATGAAATCAGAGAAAAAGTTATTGTTAACACTTGAAAGCAAAGGCTGGCAATTAAAGGGTTCCAAATATTACTTCACAAGACGAAATGTTTGGCAATACTGAAACATGTTGTATTTGGAAGAAAAAAGTGTTCCAAAACCTCACAATTAAATCGGTCCGTAATCAGCGAGTTAAAGCTTGGAGTGAGGCATTGAAATAATTTTTTTCTTCACTGTTTTTTCTTCGACTTGTGCCGCGGACTCTTCGCGTCGTTTTCTTCGACTTCGCCGAAAAGGAGGAACTGCTCATAGTGGTAATGCCGTTATCGCCGGTTACACTTAATAAAATCCAGTAGTTAGGCGCTGAAATGTTCATACAGACTTGAATAGCTTAAGCTCTCTAAACTCAATATAAAAAGAACAGAAACCAACTTTGTTTTTTTAAGTTTCTCATTAACACGTTGAGCGAACGCTAATCAATATGATATTAGATACGTTTTGTTCACTTTTTTTGTCACAAGACAGAATCATTTGCCAGGATTTAGCCCTTCACGGTTAATAAAATCGATCAGTGCGTTCTAAAAGCTCTATCTTATTATCTTTTCTTTTTTAAATGGTTAAAATCTAAGATTTATGAAGTTACCAAAATAAACGGTCGGAGTTTGCTCAACAGGCTAGTTTGCATAATTCTGCTGTCACGCTAGCAAAATCACTAGAAGTTTGAAGTCACTACGGCGAAGAAAATTAATAAGTGCAAGATCTTTTTACATTTCTATGCTTTCGAACATCTTATAAGAAGTAATCAACCTGAATTTTCAATGGTATGGTCGGGACTTAGGGAAATATCGACCCACGAAAGAAAGAGTATACTTTTGACCGATTTCAGAAAGCTGTCTGACGGATGTTTTAAATAAATTATGACTAACTTCTGAAAAGACACGTATCAGAATTGAAACGCTTTCCAAACCCCTTGTATATCACAAGATTTAGGAGTACAAACGATTTCTTGCTGCATGTAGTGTGTTACGAGGAGCGAGATTGTCAACTTTTGAAATTTTCGATGTCTCGATGTAAAAAAAGGGCCGTTTGCAGCTTTGTTTATTTTGAGAGCTCTAAAGGAAATTTTTTAACGTATTTCCAGAAACCAAAGTGTTTTCTTTTATTTATTACCAAAGATAGTTTAATGGGCAAAAATGAGTCAAAACTTTTTTCCGACGCGAACCGCCCCGGACCGCTCTTACAGAGATCGCCGCAAAATTTATACCAGCTTTTTTCTTTGCCTAGTAGATGACTAGTCCGATCAACTTTAGAGCAAAACTTATTCAAAGTTGGAGCTTGACTTAAAAGAGGTGTAGAAATATTTACGCTATAGTTTTTTAATTGTAAAACGAGTAAAATTTAATGTTTTAAAATGCATTCCACAAACTCTGCATAGCCCGCCGATCAATCATTTTTCCCATACCTTATTACAACTGGGCATGAACATGAATGTTGGTGAATAGGATACTATTGCATGCGCTCTGCACATTGTTAAAGTCAGCAGCGTTGAAAGTGTCGTCTGAGAAAATTAGATAAGAAAGACGATAAATTTACATCTCGGTCTTGTGTGTTATTTTTCTCGTCTCAAGCGTCGGGTAGAGGAAAAAATCAAGCTATGCCTCCCATTAGAAATTGAACCCCAACGATGCGAATGAGAAAGATGAAACTCGGTGACATTGCAAAATGACATCCAGTAGCTGATAAATGTCTTATTCCTTTTCCCAGGTCTGATGGAAAATGACGTGATGGTGTGAGAAGAAGTCAGCATTGTTATCAGGCATATGACCCGTGCGGCCCTGCGTGCAATCCCATGGAAAACCTTGGTGAAAGCCGACGTGTGTAGGGCCGGATACGGAGGGAGCCGTCCAGCCCTGCGGCACTCACACGGCTTTGTTGCAAAACCAAAGGAAAAACGAAAGGAGTAGAAATTAAAGTCACGTTTTTCGGTGAATTGTGAGTTTTTTGCTCTGATTCGGAGAAACAAAGAAAAGTTGGAGAAGTCCAGCTTGTGCCCCATTAGGCTGAAACAAAATTGTCGAAATTCTCAATACTTAGTGGTCATATGACAAAATGTTTATTGATTTAGTTTGGTCGAGCTATTTTTTTTTTCGCCGTCCGGCCCTCCTACTCGGTCAATAAGTATATATTATAACCAGTTTTTATGAGGAGCTTTTCAGTATGTGTTTAGCGAGTTTCAACGTGACTCTGGCGCCGGCTATAGCACCAGCTTGAAATCTGGTGTTTTTTTAACACTAGAAACTAGGAGTTCTCAATTGATCGAGATTTCTTGGCATCGGTTTGTTCACAAAATCGGATGTTTAAGAGAAGTTTAAGGAATGAAGTTACAACATTACAAATTGGAAAATTCATAAAGAGGCTGATAAAAAAGACTTTTGGTTTTTCAGACTTCAAGTTATCACAGCAAAAACAAAGAAAAATTTGCCACAAAGAAAAACTGTTGTCATAGCTAATTAACAAAATGACGGTTTTGACAATTGATTCAGAAAAACTAATTTGTTTCGAATCGCTTCTTAATGACCTCCACCACTTTTGTTCACAAATTCCAACACATTAATGCTCACTTAAGTTCCTCTAACACACTTTATTTCAACACTCCCGAAAAAAAACCACCTCTTAAATTGTCGTTGTTTTTCCAAAACTACCTTGATATTGAATTTTTACTCCACATGTTTTGACAGCCAATTCAAAATATAAAGTTATTTTGAATTTTCTGACCAATTAAAATTGGACACAAATTTCCTTAAACATTGAACACATCAAAAGAACTGGTTTTCGAACAAAGCTTGCGGTTTGTAAGGGTTAGTAGTTTGAATACGTCTGTCATCCATTACGAAACTACACTCCGTCTTCGGTGGGAGGTAAGAAAAAAAAAAACATTGATACTCCTCATCGGCTGTCAAACTAATTGCTTCTTTGTGACATATAAGACTATGATGAAAAAATAACTGCATTGATGCTAAAAACCATCATGTAATTTCTTTACCGAATTTGTAAACAGGGGATTAAGCTTCGATTTTGATATAAGAGAATTAACAAGCTTTATAATCTAATATGGTACATGGTCACGAAATTCAGGGAATAAATCATGAAATTGAAAATAACCATAAATAATAGTTTTAAAGAATGGACTTTAACCGCAACTAAACAAATTAAATGAGAAATTACACAAAAGAAAGTCTGAATGCTTAGTTGAACGAGCCAATCACCGTGATCTAATTTATCATAAAGTTTGGCTGCTTGATTCATCGGTTTTGCTCTGTATTTCCCGAGATCTAAAATTTAACTCTCCTTCTAAGGCTGTATTCTTTTCTTTAAAAACGTGTTGAGAGAATTTGGTGCTTCATCAACGCCGCGACTACACTTAAAGTTAGTCCATTCGCTAACATTTTTAACAGTCGTAACAGTCGATCAACGGTTTTTAAATAGAGGATACGAGTGAACAGCCTCGTGGAATCCTGATTTTATATATTGTGAGTTTGTACTAAAAGAGAACGATACGGCAATACATTGGCTCTAACTGTAGACCAAGAAAGGCAAGGCGAAAGAACCGTAAAAGTTAGAATTCAAAATCCAAAACGTCATTCGTTATTTATTCTTGTTTGTGGTTAGAACAACGAGGCGTTCATAACTAAGTTTGTTTTTCAACAAAGGGTTGTCTTTTCATCTTGGTTGTTTTGGCGGAGAAATTACCACCATTAGCGAGTGCTTCTTGTCTATATGCAAGTTTTATTTCCAAAAGATAAACAAAGTGCGAAGAAAGACTTTCTTGATATGATAAAACCACCTGCTAACCTGATTTATACTGTGAGCGATATAGTATAAAAAGGAGACATTTTCGCTACGCGCTCGTTCGATTCTGAAATCACGAGTATTATTTCAGGCAAAAGCGCTCTCCCTCCACTTAGTTCAATCACCATTATAAACTACACCCTGTAGGTTTACTGACATTTTTCTGTCATAGAGTGTTTATGTGATTCTTTTATTCTCTAGTTTTGATCCTTCACCAACCATGAGAGGAAGATTTTTAATGTTTACTTTCTTGGTGATTGCCTACTACCTTTCAGGTAACAACTCTCATATTTCAAAGTCTACGTTACTTTAACAGCCCTTTTATCGTTTATTCTAGCCGATTTAAGTCGCAGCCATGAACACACGACTTCCACTTGCTTAAAAATTCTAGAAGAGCGACAATTTTTTGAAGCTAGTGATATGCCTATGAGTCTGAAAACGGCCATACAGTTTTTCCAACAAAAATACTTTTACATTACGCGTAGGTCGTACGCTTTATAATTTTATTAGTTTTGGAAGTAGGAACTTCTTGTATATGGCCGGTTCCCCGATATGTTTTTTAAACCTTTCATCTTCAATGCTGCTGCAACTAGAAGTTCTCTGTACTCTTACATAACATTGCCTTAGTCATTGCAAGACCTCACATTTTTTGTTAGCGCTGAAACCGTTGTCTTTCTTGCCCTTATATTGTCACTGTAAGGGGATTGTCAGTAACAGCTTGAGTATCAGCTTGTTCAAAATTATTTCCTTTTTCAGTGGCGTCATCTCAGGGCCGCTATGACTATTCGTGCAACACCTATCAAGAAGGTCAAGCAGTCGACGGTCCGTGTGGGCAGCGGTGCATTTGTGTGAACGAGAGGCTGCGATACTGTTGTCGACAAAGAAAAGATTTCCCCTCAATGACTCGAGAAGAAAGAATTCGCTATGTAAACACAGTCATCAAAGCCTCGACTCATAGAAGATACAGAAGACAATACAACCGAATTATCGCCATGCATGCGAGACTGTTTGATTCCGGAATTCACTCTAAACAGCAGTTTTTACCATGGCACCGTTGGTAGGTCATATGACTTTCTTTCCCTTAAATTTATTCCCGCACATATTATCTAGGCAATAAGGTCATTCTCTGAGGTCAAGTAACCAATTCTAGAGTAAAGAGAACCAGAGTCTGATGAGTATCCCAATATGTGTATTTTTTATTTTATTTTATTTTATTTTAACTTATTCGCTGAATAATTGATTTACCGTTGGATGGGGTAATCCGCCTTATGAACAACTGGGCCCTGGGTGAAAGGTGGACTCTGACAGGCAGGTGTCTTGCTTAAAAGGTTACGCTAAACCAGCATTCTTTGCGCGCCGCTGTTATTTTTATCATCTGGGACTCCATACAACAAAGAATACCAAAACAGCAGTAGCTTTTGCAGACATTTTCAACGGCAAAAATAGAAAAAGGGTATTATCGTTCAGAGAGCAACAAAATCGCTACATCTGATGGTCATCCAAGTGCCGAGAGAAGATTTCTGTTTGACTTTCCTCCGAAATTCCGTATAGCGGGGCCTCTAATGAGGGTAAAAAAAGCCGACTCCCGAACAGGATTGTAAAGGAAGAGTCAAATGTTATTACATGCACGGCGGGCTTTCCTTTTCTGTAATACAGAAAATACTGAAAATGGCCACTACCCCCCACAATGCATCCTGGTTGAGCGTGGCCTGTAGGGGCCAGCTATGCTTGGCGAAAATAAATACGGCACAACAACTTGTTTGGGCCCAGATTCCATGTATTCTTGTAAACAACGATTTACCTACGAGGATTTATCTGGCAACGATTCGAAGTTATTGCTTCTTACAGGATAGCTCAAAATCCTTACCTAAAAACTATATTTGGCTAAAAACGGCAAAAAAACTACAAACGATGCCCAAGCAACGCTCATGGCGTGGGAAACTGCGCCCTAGGTATATTGTCAGCGGCGCTATAGACTGTAAGTAAATTAAACGAATCATACATACTTCAAGAACACAACACAATGACTCAGCCAGGGCTCCAACAGAGATCTCTTGATCTGGAGTCCAGCCGCTGACTATTAGGACATGGCCTTTCGCAATCCTCGTTCTTAGCTTGTATACTTTCCTGACTCTGTTTGTTTTTCAAACGTCACAAAGAGGCAGACGGAGAGACATAAAAAACAAACTGAGCTTGAGAAGGTATTAAAATTCATAACTGATATTAGAAATTGTTGAACAGAGGGGAGAAAGGATTCATGAGCCCCTCAGTCCAGTTATCCTGTGGGTGAATTCATTTAAGCTATTCTTGTATTAGTTATCTTAACATCTTCCTAAGCTAGCTGAGACGATTACGCTCACAATCATCCTCAACAATATCGACCTCGTAGTCAGACTTCTGTCATCCTATTAACTAATGAGCATAAGGCTCAATCCTCTGTACTCCGTCGTTCATCCTCAGTACGTTTCATCTTCCTGCGTACCATACCCTCCTTCCTCCTTGCATCCTCTATCCTCGCAACCTCCATCCTTCATCTTCCAACATCCATGCTTTACAAAGATAACCTCAACCTCTATCCTCTCACCTCCATTCTTTATCATTCATCCCTCAATCCCCATTCTTCTGAATCCATCCCGCATCCTTCATCCTCCATTCTTCATGCTCCAACCTCTATTTCCTATCCTCCATTCTCCATTCTATATCCTCCGTCCTTCCTGCGTCATTCGCCAGCCTTTATCCTCCATCCTCCATCCCCCACTGTTCATACTCCAGCCTCCGTTCTCTTTTCTCCATTCTCCATCCTTTATCCTCCATCCCTCATGCTTCATTCCCCAACCTTCATCCTCCATCCTCTATTTTTCATGCTCCAACTTCTATTTTATATCCTCCATTCTCCACCCTTTATCCTCCGTCCTTCATGCTTCATTCCCCAGCCTTCATCATCCATCTTCCATCCCCCGTTATTCATACCCCATCTTCCATTCTCTTTTCTCCATTCTCAATCCTTTATCTTCCGTCCTTTATGCTTCATTCGCCAGCCTTCATGCTCTATCCTTCATCATCCTTCATCCTCACATCTCCGTTTTCCATCTTTTATCCTTTATCAATTTACCTCTACTCTCCATGGATACATTATCCTCCGTCCATCCTTCTTTCTCAATATGCAATAACTTCATATTATATTTCCTTTATCAGGTTTCTTCTTCGCTACGAGAATTTTCTACGCAAGGTGGATTGCCGAGTGACTCTTCCTTACTGGGACTGGAGTTTGTTCGCTAAAGGTGTTTGGCGAACAGGCATAGACGACATCTGGTCCAACAAGCCTTGGGGACTGGGAGGAAATGGTCGGAAGAAAAAATCTCACAGAGCTGGATGCGTTAAAACCGGGCGTTTCAGTCAACGTAAATGGCGGTTGACACCCTCGGCTAAAAGAGGATGCCTAAGGAGAAAGTTCTCAGGTACAGTTTACATAATGACTGCAATCCCTTTCGATTGGCTCCTGTATTCTTTTCGCCGAGCACTCAACTACTAATCATCTAAGCCTGAAGCCCAAACTTTAAACAAAATCTCGCTCGTTCGTTCAAACCATGTTCTTCAAAGACTAAAGGTAGACTTAAGGTGACCCTGAAAACCAGATCTTACGTAGAGTTTCCAGTTGACAGTTCAAAATCGCGAAAGCTTCGCCCGGTTTCAAGTTTTTTCCTGATAGTAGAGATAGGGTGGTATGTCTAAAACTCCATAACAGGTATTTATTTCTTAATTTTTTTACCTGACAGCTCCAGCCCCAGATATTATTGCCCTTCATTTGACAAAAGCACATCGTCCACGTGAGTTCACTGAGTTTGAGCTTAACGTGCGTGCTAACCTCCATGATGCCTTCCACTGCGAAATTGGAGGAACAATGTGCGCTCATAACTCTGCAAACGCACCGGAGTTCTTCTTACATCACGCATTCATCGACAAGATTTGGGCGGACTGGCAGGCAAAGAGTAATGATCACATGGAGACTTACTTTACAACTGTTCCCAGATACGTCCGAATGGAGGGGAACGATTTCCACCCGAGCGATTACATAGATACGTTTAACCTGCCCCACCCTAATGTAGACAGAACTGATGACTACATTTGTGTTATGTATCAAGATGCAGCTCATCCGCTTTACAAAGAGATTACTCAGCGCCTCGAGAAGCTCAGCACACGTGAAGTAAGGACAATTCCCCGACTGTACTTCAAACCGGCAACCACAAGACAGCTACGACGTCTTGGAGTGAAGAGAAAAGAACGGAGACACGCGAGAAAGCTTCTTAATAAGGAACTTGAACCTAGGAAAAGAATCCGCAAGAGTCAGTTACGCAAAGAGTACGATAAGCTTCTAGGTTTTAAACTTGACGACATTCCTTTCCGATATACATCCAGGGATTTGCCAACGAGGAACACAAGTCTCACATATGATCGCTGGCTAGCTAGATCTCTAAACGCAGCTGAAATGTCATCCGAAGGTCTTGAGTTCTTCCGGCGTGCAAACATTTCCAATGCCATGGTGTAACTAAATACCGAAAACCCAAACCCTCCCTGGCCCCTTAAGTGATCATCATCAAATTTCTCCTCACAACATCAGCCTATTCACGAGAAGGATTCTTGAGAATGAAGGAAATGATCCCCAAAGGAAATTAACCCCAAAGTTGTTACAGTTGCTTTTATGATAAAATATATACGGACCGTTGAGGATGACCATTAAAAACTGGGTATAGGGTATGGGATTTAGCTGAACTTGTACTTACATTCTAATATGATTCCGAGATGAAGCTATTAGAGTTGTTTTGCAGGAATTTTTTGTCCAGCATTACTCCCGTAACTATTTAGTACTGCGCTCTGAGTTTCAGAACATTATTACAGTCTAATAATGACGAGTTGATGTGACGTAAGTAAATAACATTTATTGTCTTGAACTTGCGTTTTTGCAATGATATAGCATAGCCTATCAAAACTGTAGGCAAAGGTCTGATGGTTTATTCACGACCATTTTCTTCTGTTGGTTCTCCTTCTCTGATAGTTGATAAAAGATACGAGAAGCGAGATACTTGGGCAACGAGTGCGATAGCTAAAGTCCCCTCAACAGCGTACACTCTCTAAATCCCCCGTCACTTCTGTTTTTTCGTTTATGTGTGGGATGAAAATCAATGAGAAAATCAATGAGAAAATCAATAGCAGTTCTGTAAACGGACTAACATTTTAGCTGTAAAAATGGAAATAATCAGAGCTAGAAAATTACGGCGAAAACCTGAAAAAACTGTTTCGTTTTGCTAACTGCCCGTATCAATGAACTTTTCTTGCTGACAGTAATCAGCCTCATCAGCATTTGCATGTACACATGTAATCACGATTACTTCGATCTCGTGAACTAGATCCGGTTTTCTTGATTCCCGTCATGAAAAAACGAGCGTGGCCTGGGATAATAAACTACTTTGTGTTAAACCCTTTGTCACCCCGGCCTTAGAATCTGGTTAGTGCTAAATTCTCTTCATCTTTCAACTAAATAACAATTCTTTTTTTCCAAGAGAGGTTACATGATGATCATCTCTCTCTCCAAAACATGCACACTTGTGCGTGTCGCTACTAGGACTTTCTTAAATCATCGTCGTCGGCGCGTTTTTGACAGACTAATCATCTTTAATACTGGTTTTCCGCAAGATAAAGTGACTTATCACATAACCAAGCTAAAAAACCCATTACTGAAGATCGCTCAAAGATAAGAATCATCGAACGAGCGTGAAACAGACCAAGAAAAAACTACTAAACACTCACGAATACATTGAAAACAAAAAGAATCGAAATAATATGAGCCTGAGGTGGCAATCGAATTCTTTTTGAATGCTTTTCCACCTGAGTTTGGTATCCTTCTAGGTGGCCCCAGATTTTATCCTGAAAACCGTCTAACACGCTTATGTCTAAAAATATCTTCTTTAATATGAGGAGGTCAGTTTAAATCCCAAACTGTTCAGGGGGAGAGGGAGAGGATGGAGCCTTGAACGTTTATAGCCAGGATGGCCTCATATACAGAATTTCAATGACGTCTGAACTAAAATCGATTGCTTTTTCTTTTGCCCTGTCACGTATATTTTAATTCCTTTTCCAAAGTGGGTATATCCTCAACATTTTGTTTATACTTTTTAAGAAAGTACGACTATATCTAAAGATTCCTCAAAAGAAGAGGATTTGTGTTTTGTTTTTTGTTTGTTTGTTTTTTCTGTGCATACATCTCAGCAGAGGTTTCATTTAATTCCTTTCTTTGCCATTTTTCGCTCCAAGCTTAGCTGCATGTTAATCAAAAAATTGAAATCTCACTAGAACGCTTTTTTATTTTTTTGCAGTTGTTTAATGAGACTCTGAAACCTTGAGACATCAAAAAGTTTCCCAAGTTGATCAAAACCCATACAATAGAGATACTCATCTGAACAAAAGAAGAGCAAATATAATGACATGTAAAACGATCATGCTCGAAATTAAATGAAATTACCTTCACTTTCAACTGTTCTGTGAAGCGCATACTTGTCTTTTTTCCTCCTGCAAACAAGTAACTTCCGTTGTAAAGTTCATTTTAAATATAACAATTTTGCAAGAAGATTTTTTTGCCTCATGTTACTTTGAATGTTTTCAGGATTAAAAAATGATTCTGATATCTACCATGGTTCAAAAATTAAAATGATATTTGTAAAAATGAATTCTTAATCACATCTTCTCCAGCTTGACAGTTAGCCACGAAAGAGTTTTATCTGTCAGGTCCATTCGCCCACAACTGACAAGTTCCTGAGGTTTTCAATTTGATTTCTGAGAGCAGCATTTGCTGACCCACTTGATAACCATTTACAATCATTATCCACCTCCCGTGCTGATCCGCGTTTCGTATTTCCCGCAAATTAATCGACACGATGAAAATTGAGTATTTGTCGATAAAGTTATCATAGAAGGGAATCTTCCTGGGTATCTTTCAAATAAATAAATAACGAGGAGAATGTACAGAAAGATAAAATCGTGATGCGACCCGCTATGTCTGATCATTATTTTTGAAATCTGAACGTCAAGTCATTGGAATAGAGATACCACAAACTAAGATAGTTATGTTTGACTAGCACGCTGGAGGTTTCGGCTCTTTCCAAGGCAATATATATTTTAAGGAAATTAAATTTTCAGTGTTTCAATGAACCGAGTTGCAATTTCTGTTCTATTTGTGTAAAATTTGAGCTTCTGCCATAAATAAGCAATTATTTATTTAAAGAAGGCTTTTCATTGGCTACAACATGTAATTCAGAGTTCGTCCGACACCCGCTAGGCTAATGAAGTATAATTTTCAAGAACGCCAATTATACGAATTGTAAAATTAATTAAATTATTCATGTTCGGCGAGCTGAAAGGACAAGAGAGAAGAATAAATTATAAATTATGTTTAATATGAACCCTTGTCTCTGCTGGCGAAAAGGATAAAAAGGATAAAAGGCTAAACCGATTTGGAACATAAACTTCTAACAGAAACAGAACTGAGTGATATTGATATCAAACAAGAAAGAGTCAGAAGTCAAACGAAGCAATGCGTGAGTATGTTTGGTACAATATGTAGCAGGACTGGTTAAATTCACAGAGGTAAATTCGTTCGTTAGTTTCCACATTAAAAAAACGACCGGGGTACTCGGTAAAAAAAAAATGTGAATCGAGTCGGAAAAAATTGTCATTTTGGCAGACAAAACAAAGGCTTAAGGCTGCCTGATCCTTCTTCAAACAATCTTTTTGAATTCCTGCCTCAGCAAAGACATGTCGACAAACAGCGAAACCTCAAAGTAATTGTTTGTATCCAACTCAGTACCTTGATAAATTCACCTTCCCATCTTTGAATTAACTTCATGCTCAAGTCTACGTAGACGTAAAAATTCTTCCTGGCGCCTGAATCCCAAAGAGCGGAGTCTAGTAGACAAATTTCGCGCTGATTATGGAAACGACGGTTTTTTAAAGGTTGATGCGTCGTACGCGAAATCAAGTTACCACTCGGTTCTTGTATAACCTTAAGTTTCTTTGTTTGTTTTTTTTTTCCGCTACCTTAAAAGCCTATTTCTACATAAATAAAACGAAAAATTAGTTAACCTCTCGGAAAGTTCCAGAGTAATTTTAATAGATAAGTTTTGCTGCATAACGTAGTTTCGAGGCCATAAATAATGTTAACGTCGTTTACTTTGTTTAGTGTATCGGCTGCAGTTTACATATACTTGTACACTTCCTGTTGGGGCAGCCACTCAGTAACAGACCGCACGTACTTAGGTTGGTAATTATTTGTAAAAGTTCCTATGTTGGTTTTGTACTGTAAAGAAGATACGGCGGTCATTTGCTGTATTGAATAAAAAAAAGCAAATCGATAAAATATTGCTCATATCCTATGGACATTCGGTGAGTGCCTTTTTTGTAACAAAGATTGGGTATTGGAGTGTCCGGACTCATCGTGATTGAAAAAAGTTGTTGCTCATAGAGAATATCAAGTGAAAACCATGATGGTTTATAACTCGTTCCATTTTGATAATTTCATTCAGTCCTTGACGTCAGAATAAGACACATTCGATCGATCACCAGCTTTCAGATACTTGTATTAAATTACAGTCTATAAGCTATTGGTTATTCCGTTCACGTTTCAGTAACAAACAGCTGGAGAGTTTCAAACGTTCTTCAGTACTTGTGACGACCAAGTGTTAAATACGGTGGTAGAGAGGACTAAACAGAGATACATTTTAACTGAAGTAGACATCCAAATATTAACCAAAAGCGAAAAAAGAAAGGCAGGTAAATCTTATGTTAGTTAAATGAGAATATGTCCGCGTGCGTAGAAAAAAAAAATAGAGAATTCCGTAGGTTCCTTTTTGAATTTCCTGCGTAAGAAACGACTGTTTAAAATATCTTCTAATACCTATTTTTTGACGGGAGCACTTAGTGACATTAAATCATTTTTTTTTCTTTTTTTCTTGAAATACGGAGGAGAAGCTTTTTCTAAAAAAAGGTCTGTCTGATTTTTTTTTTTTAATGGTTATGGCCATTTCTCTACGCGGTTTTGTAAACAACTTAAATGATTCTTCAGTTTCTTTTTTTTTTCGTTTGACTCATAATGGTCGGTTTTTTCACAAAGGTTTTGAACATTATACTGTAAGGTAACATTACAAATGATCCTGGCATGATATAGCATATCTACTTAGTGCATGCTAAGAAACATTGCGTTTCTCAAAGCTAAAAAGCTATTGATGGCCTATTACAACAAAAAAGTAACTTGATTTATGATGAATTCGCATCGAAAAAAAGGATGGAGAAATTGTCATAACTCATGACCACAATAATCTTCAGAAAACGCGTTTAACATCCCACGCTGATCCCACGCCCACACGATCACGATGTCACATTTATGACAATTATATGTTGTTACGATCACGCAAACTTTATCATAGTACGAACAATGCTAGAGATAGAACTGAACTTTGATAATTTTTTTGAACAAAAGCAGACGTGGTTTGATTTTTGTCGCTATAAATGCATTGCCGTTGGTAATGTCACTTTAAGCTGGTCGTTCGCAAGTCTTTAACGAAAATTAGTTACTGAATACCTCCTAAAATAATAAATAATGATTAAAGAAAAAAATTAAGATACTGTAATTTATCTTCTTTACAGAAATCGTATTCAAACCATTTAAGATGTCAAAGTGATGCGGGTCATCTCCCTTTTGTGAAGAAAATTATTCATGAAGGTGAATTCACGTTCTCCTGAAAAGATCGTATAGAGCGAATTTAAACTAAACGCCCGCTGTGAAAGTCGAACAGGGAATCACAATGAAATTACATATCAGTGATACTAAGATGCTACGTTATCCGGGGTAATTGAAAGGCTTAAAAATAGATCTACCACAATGTATCTCTGAATATACTTTCTTGAAATAGGAAAATAAGGAAACCGTTTCAGGGTTTTGAAAAGGATTGGGTTTACAGTATCTCGAAATTTGCATTGGAGGCAACGCAGGTGTCTTGTTATCTTATATAGGGCACCTCTATACCTTTTTGCCTCTAAGCGGTTCTAATCCAAGAGTTTAAATTACGGATCTTGGTGAAGCTCTCATTAATTTGGACGAGGGTAGCTATATCATAGTCATATACCATCAAAATCTTGAGTTGTTTGTATCTTTGATCATTTTGTTATCGAAATTGTTGAAATCAATGTTTTGAAACTTATTATCCGGCGACAACAACTACTTCAAGGTAGACAGTCCTGTCTCCTTTTTTTTCCTTTTTTACACAAGAACAAATGGAGTCTCTTTTCTTTCCTATTTTTTCCTTTTTTTTAATTGTTAGAGAAAGTTAAAATCTTATTTCGATAAAATAAAATTCAGCAAATGAAAAATAACCCTCAGAGCATTTCATCAATATTTTGGCACAAAATGATAAAACCCATATCGAATAACTTTCTGGTAAACATTACAAACCAATCAAGCTTATTTTCTTGTCATCTTCACAGCGGCGGCGTTAGTGTCACACGTAGAAGAAAGATTTCAGATGGTAACTGATAGAAAAAGAAAAGTAAAAACAAAATTAAAAAATAAAAAATATGAAAAACTGACTGAACGATCAGAAACTCTTCCCCATCAACAAAAACTGCCAATTTTAATTTAAAAGTACGTCTTCAGATATGGCTAAATATTGTAATCAATTACCTAATGCTCTCTTGTTTACAGTTTACGGCCTTGGCCAAGGAGATACTTACCATAGTGTCTTTCGACAAAAGTAAATAAAATTGTTTGTTTGGTTTTATTTATTTGGTGTTAAAAAGCCTTTTTAAGGGAGCTACACTAAATGTGTGTATGTATTGATTAGTACCTGTAAAGACTCAGTGAAACGAAAACTGACTGCCAGAAATGACACCATAGTTTTACCTTACGGGCTTAAGTTGGCGGCACTTTTAAAAACTTAGGTAAAAGCTTTTAAGATTATCACTTAGAACTAAACAATAATTCCGACAAACTACGTCAGTCTGTTTGTCTGTCTAATTTATACCGAAGAAGATTGATGGATTTAAAGAGGTGTTAAATTTCCATCAGGAGCTTGAATGTGAGAAATTTGCGCAATATTGTAAATTTTACAAACTACGTAATACTGATGTAGTCTCTAACTCGGTGTAGTCTGTTGCGCAAAGAGACCCAAATATACTATCAATGCGCGCATATTAGCATAATTCTGCTCACTAGCAATACCACTTTTTTTTTTTTTTTTTTTTTTTTTTTCATTTGCCTTCGCATAAGATCCATGTCGACGGAAAACCGCTTGCCATTACGGGGTCTTCAAGAAAGATCGGCATCCGAAATGTACCTTTTTAAACCTTCAACGCCGTAAGTTGAAGCACTTTGCGGCTACCTTTTATGGATATTTTGTTCTATATATTGGTTAAACTCGATTGATAGCCAATTAAAATACGACAACCCCTTTGGCTTAAAGATTGAAGAACTTCCCCCCAAAAATTCGCTTCATTTGATTGTTTTATACCGCTGCCACATGCAACTAAAACAGTTCTTGCGTATGTTCTGAAAATGGCAACTTTGAAATTTGTCATAAGCTGAGAAATCTTCCTTGCAACGAGAAAGGTAGCTCAAGTTTCGTTCAATTCAGGCAAGGAAAAATATCTTAATTTTTTTTTCGGTATTTTCCTTTCATGATATTTCTATGGTGTCTAGCTTAAGTAGTTTATAAAGCTCTAAGTTGCCGATGTGGTCTTTGTAAGACCTCACTATCAATTTTAGGTCCACGGTTACATGCCTATAAATGTATCTTAACCGTCGAGATATTTTTCGTTGCTTCACTGACCGATTTAAGTGGTTGAGGGAAGCATTCAAGGAGGGTCTGAATTTTTTTTTTCTCAGCAATGAATTCAAATTAGTTCATTTGTAATTCATTCAAATTTAGTTTTTTTTCCTCGCCTATTCGCTTTTCTTGCATAAGACATTTTGTCGTTCTTCTTTTTATCGATTCTAGCAAAAACATTTGTTTTCGTATCAAGATCTGTCATCCACGTATTTGGGGAGCCTAATTTCGATAGTCAAAGCAAAGCTGTATCGTCTATCATAAATCTTCAAGTTTATTTAAAAAATTTCGGTGGTTCTTTTCGAAAAGCAGTTGACTACGAGATCTATTTTCCGCAGAACTAGGTTTCTTGGTATACCTATTTCGTTAATTCAATTGATATTCTTAGCTGGCTTTAAATTCATTCAGTGAATGGTGAACTTTCTAGAAGACAATAGATCCATTTCTTTCGTTAAAAAAAATACATTAATAAATAAAATCGTGTGGGATATCGGAAAAACATGAAAATGTTTTCTTGTAATGAAAAAAAGAAAGCCATTGTCTTCCGGAATATGGGCAAATTTTATCAAACTTTTGATTAACACTTCCTCATTAACAACAGGTCCTGCGGTCTAAACTAAGAATCATGTTATACAATGACATTTGCTCGCTTTACTTTATAACCAAATGAGATGTTTTATAATACGTTAAGCGCAGCATGAAGTCTTTTATTTCACTTTTAATGTCAGGAAATGATTGCCGTTCTTACCTTTTCTTCAAAGGTAGTTTTAAAACCACATTATGAGAACTACAGGTGGTCTATTTTACAGCGGCGATTGGTGTGATTAGACTTAGTTAGCTTTGCAGATGTTCTTAAGGTAACAAACAACGCCTACAGAGTTGCGTGACAACGAATTAGAAAAATCTCGCAGTTTTTTTTTTGTTTTGTTTTGGGGAAGAGAGGGGAAAGTTACAGGGGGCAGTTTTGGTACTTGTTTTGGGTACCTTAAATTTATGCCTACCTATAATTTTCTTCTAAATCTTTTGTATCCTCTGGACATTGAGGAAATCTCACATCGCGTCTAAAGTCAAATAATGCACCAGAAAAATTTTGTCATCGGTAATTTCTTTGTTGTTATTTACATTTTTTTTTTCAATTCTAGAATTAAGGTTTTTCTACTGTCAGTCACAGCTAAGCTGAAACGTTTCTTCTTTCGTGAATTAGGGTTACAGTCAAATTTTATTGCTTTTAATATTTTATCTTCAAAGGGAGGAATTGTAAATTGTTTTCTACCAACTTCAACCGATACAAAATGCATTAAGATATGAACTAATCAATGTACTTTACAGGTTACTCTGCGCTTAAAGCTAACCAAACTAATGGCTCATAGCAGAGCACGCTTTTCCTCTTCAACGCCACAGAAAAACAAAACCTAATTTGACGGTAGATTTATGCTAGTATAAGAGTCATGCTCAAGAAGAACGCGGCCAAATCAAAATCAGTATAAGACGGAAAGACTGCCTCCAACTGCATTGTATTGTATTTTGATATGTTAAAATATTTTTAAAAAAAAATGTCCATTAAAGGGAGGAGAAACCTCCTTCTCAATATGGCTAGACATTATGGCTAACTAATTCATCAAATTAGTATACAATTGTCACCCTAGCTTCCTCCCAATTTCAAAAGGAACAAATCCATGGGTTTATCTTGGGAAATTTTGTAACCAGTAGCCTCAAGCACTCAAATGTACATCGCACATTCTATATAACTAAGGGATCCTTCGCGTTCTGAATCGTAAGTATGAATGGTAAACGGTCGTTTATTTGACTAGTGATCCTATGAAGAGCTAACGCAAAATTTTACTGCTACTCAAGATAAAGAACAGATCATACTATATTTTCTATCAATTTTTGTCCATGAAGTTTGCCAATTAATCGATTGTAAATCAGTTTACAATTCTAACATGGCGTTTGGTTTATTACGCCGGTAAACTCATCGATAGAGAATTTTTAGGACGCAAACAACTTTACTCGAGAAAATTCCGAATCGAGAGGGAAAGTTAACACGTCTAAAACTCTCACTCCTGTCTAAACCCTTTCACTCCCATAATCTAATTGGTAATTCTCCTAACTGTCTACCATTAAAATCTTATGATGTGGGTTCGGAGAAACAGGTATTGGATCAATTGAAAATCCCCTAATTGATATTTTTCGTTATTCTCATCACTTGTCTGCCTGACATTGCATTGAAATTGTAAGGAGAAATACCGTCTTGGTCATTCACAGGAGTAAAAGTTTACATGTTATGGACTATAATATTCATATGAAATTTCAATTATCTAATCAACAACAAGACGCCTTCCTCACTGTTCAATACTAGTGTTGTATTGTTCATACTTTTTAATTATTCCCAGTTATTTTTCACTAGTTACATACCTCACAGTTGACTTTTCAGTTGACTTTTCAAAGAAAACTGTATCACCCGCCTATATAACTTATAAAAAGAACAAAATTCGTCGCGTGCAAGAAAGAATCATCGAGATAAAAGCGATACTTGAGCTCCCAGATGAGCGCCTTGTGGTAATTTCCTTTAATGTTTGAGTTTCCAGATGAGCGCCATGTGGTCACGTATTACGTCATACACTTTGAGCCATTATATCCAAACAATGGATTTTTCATTTCAAAGTTCCTTGGGGCCTATGTTGTTGTGAGGTTCCCTAGGGGTACAGCTCACTGGAAAGTTCCTTGGGGCTTTTGTTGCCGCAAGGTTCCCCAGGCAAACAGCTTTGCAAGATACGAAGTATGGGCGAAAAAGCGTGATAGTTTAAGATTCGATCAGTCGATGTTTAAGAGTTTGCTCTTCTTTCCGAACCCAAACATGGGATTAATGAGGAGTGTGGCACCTTCTCGACGTGTCTGTTTTCTGATAATACAAACATGAGTTTTAAAGAGAATTAATTGAAAAATGTGTGGGATAACTTCAGGAGCACGTGGTTGAAATATGCCATCGAATTTAAGTGGCTATCGTTTGAATTGCAGCTAGCATAAAACGTACCTCAACGCTTGAGCGTACTTAAGGTTACTTCCCACCTTCGCGAGTGTCCTTCTGGAAAAAATTCGTACCCGCGCTAGTTTTACTAAAATCCTAGCAAACTATATGTCAGAAGAGCACTTAGTTTACAATAAAAATATAATTTAAGCGACTTTACTTTTAAGGAAGTTTCAGGAGCCGGTAAGGCGTGAAACGACCGAAGATTCTTCTATTGAATTTATCGGGCAGCGGATGCCACAACACGAGTAAAATGGCTGAACAGTTTTATCCACAAGTCATAAATCAACAAAAGTGTGGCAGGCTTTTTCGATATTCTGATTGGTAGTCTAGATATCGGCATCTAAAGTTGGAGTAGTTAAACTAACGCACGCTACAAAGTAACTTTATAAGTCGTCATTATAAACCCAAGCTTTCGGTTCTTTGAGAGGTTTATTCGGCGTAGCCTACAGTTTGATGGACAAGTATGCAGTTCCTGTACATTATCCACCCCTCCAACCCTCCATTTGTATAGGTAACAACATGACTACGAGTGCAACTTGTAGTCTTTGAAAAATTTATAAGCACTTATTTACACCGAATTGCATGAGAAATGATGTCTTTACTTGTTAACAATTTACATAAAAAAACGCATCACAGAAATTCAAGACGGATGATGTTTTTGCAGCGCGCGCGTGCTGTTTGTAATTTGCATTTGTTTTTAACTTTCCACTCGTGCTACATGAAAAATGCACTTATTTCAAACTGAAGAATTGAAACAGTCGTGTTCTAGAGGCTTCCGTAATATAAAGCGCGACCTGGTGCCTTCCGTGTAACAGGACGCATTTGATATTGCTTATACCTGCAGAAAACTAAACTCTTGAGCATGTGCAAAACATTAGCTAGCTCCGGCTAATGGTTTCATTCTTCGGATGAAATACAAACGACGATATTTGTCCCGTCCTCCTTGCAGTAAATAGAATCTCGCACAAATTAAATGTTGAGAATCTTAACGGATATGGCTTCGCAGATTTTGACAGGTGTTTAATGGTGACGATTTCATGGCAAAGATAACCATCGTATTTAAGGCCAAAACCTATTTCCCGTTTTATGAAAGAATGATGAGTTTATTCTTCAATCGGTAACAGCCTTTTCACGTAATTGGTTCGGAAAGAAGAAAAACGTTTGTTCAGGCAGAGGCCAAGTTCGTCAATTTCTAGCAAGAATGACGCCATTTTGTCTGGATTACGCACATAATTTGGCGAAAACGCCGACACATACACGGCCACAAGATGTCAAAGTATTTTTCCTTCTATAAAATATAAATTATAGCGTACAATATAAGTTACATATGGATCCGTGACTTGGAAACTCAAAATGGCCCTCAGGTTCAAAAAATGCCTTAATGGATTTGATATAGTGTTCAAATGAACAATGCAAATAGCTTTTAGAGAGATTAATATCAAGGGTATTTACAAATGACTGTTTCGGTCACCTGCTGTATATTATGATAACCTCAGTATTTTGAAGTTTTGTCGAAAAAAAAGATTAAGTGAAGTTGGTTAGTAGGTGGGTTAGCATTAAATTTGTCGTTGCTGGAACATTTTAGGGATATTTTTAAAATATTTATGTAGCTTTCTCGTTTTCTTTAAAAGATCGGATCTGGGCAAACGAATTATATCCGTGAAGAAGATTCGTGAAGAAGATTGAAGAGGAACTCAAAAGCTGGAGAGTAAAAGGTACGAAAAATCTTTCATATACCTTACCACGCTTTGAAAAAATCGTAGAAGGCTTGAAGTGAGGTTTTCGTAGAACTCAAAAAAATTATAACATTGGTTAGTTAACGTAGGAGTATAAGGATGTCTCAAACCGATTAGTACAGCGTCCGCAGGATCTTGAACACCAACCTATCTTTACATCAGCTATGCAAATTATGCAAAGGCGATTAGGGAGAGGGATAAAACTTCTGAGATTTTCCAGTTCAGCACAAGTCAAGTTCTGGCTTTCAAAGATTATTACAAAAAATGGTAATAAAATTATGTTACAGGTAAGTCCGAACTATTTGACAAGAGCAAGTTCAAGTAGCGTTAAGGCAATGAAGATGTGGCAACAGCATCAACAACAAAAACGTGATATTTCTTTACGGCATTGTAACAACGAAATGATTACCATTTTTTCGAAATTGCAAAGAGGCATATGGGGTTTCTCTTTCATGACGTGCCAATGAAGCCGTACACAGTTTCTAGAAGGAAAGGCTATATCATAGAAAGAAAGACCTTTGAGAACCAACTAGAACACAACACACTTTCTAGATCGTCCATTCGAAGTTTTTCTTTGCCTGTTCCAATTTTCTTGGCCGGGTATTGCTTCCTTTCCCGTGTACAGTTGAAGTAAGGAATGTTAAGTATATCGAGGAACCCAGAAATCGTAAACTACTTCTAAATTGGACTTACTTACTTACTTACTCTGCCCGCGTTGCCACACTTACTAAGCTCGAATTTCTTCATCGCGTAGAAGTAAAAATGTATGTTTAGACATAAAAAATATTTATAATATACATGCACCAATATCTGCTTAAAACCGCTCGATATATCATCAAATATTTGCTTTGGCAAAAAATCAAGTTATGATTAAATTTCATTCAAGCTGAATTGGAGGTCTTGTTTTTTAAATAACAACTTTATACCGAAACGTCACTTTATTCCGTGCTTTCTAATAATTAAGATTTACAGTATAAGAACTTAACATGTATCAGTAGATGAAGATATTGCTTACACCAAAGTCAGTGATGCATAAATGTCAGTGTCTCGTTTATGTGAATCGTGCATTATTTATCACTTCATGACAACTTGGCCTTGGACACGAAAAATCCACACATCTGTTCGCACATCGCCTGTCAACTCTGCCAAGAGGGAAGTTCGTGTATTTTTTCAAGATGTGTTTGGTTGTAAGTGAAATTTACACGACAATATTTTTTGCTACTGGTGTGAGGCAATCAACTGAAACGAGGCTTGTTACTATAAGAAAAATGTATACGTCTGATTCAGCTTGCTGCAATTTACCTGAAAGCAAACAAGATTCCTGCCTGTTTCCCTGGTGTCATAATTTCATTAAATCATTAGCCATAGTCACGGAAGAGAAATTGTGATTCGTTACTTTTAAATGTGGTTTTTTCTTTCCGAAGAAATTTAGTGGGACATTCAACGCGTGCTGCAAGAAACAGCTTTCGTAAATAAGATTGCATTACAAAAAGAAGAACAGGTTTGAATGTTTCGTGGAACCTACACGCAGTAGGTTAAATTAACGACATTAAGACTTAGTGGTCCCATTTCTTTAAATTCTTATCTCGGATGCTTTCAAAATAGCATTTACAGGACAAACACAACAAGGTATACCAGTTTTTTTACAGTTTCTCTGCAGGAACGGAATTCTTTCTTTCATATTCGTCGATAGCTTTTATGAAGAGAGCTAGAACAAACCGAGATTGAACCAAAAAGTGATTCAAAAGGTTTGCCTGACTCTGATTGACCAAGTAAATTAGTTCATGTTGAATAAATTATGCTGAGTCACTCGAGAACTTCATCCCAGATAAACAAGATTGTACTGATAACCTTAATTACTTCAACACCTTGACCTTGTCAACATCTCGGACATTAAGCTGTCTTAAAATTCACTTGATATGGGGAGAAACTGTTGCGTTATGAGCGAACAATACTATACCTCATTTATCGAATTGAATTAAATATTAATGCCTTTCAACCGTGATTCTTTTTTAAAATTCGTGATGGTTCATCAATGCGTCCTACATCCTCGGCATATTAAACCTTTGTACTGTTTTCTTCGATGAAGAGGGGTAGGGTGGGTAGGGAATGTTGAAGAAAGTTACGTCTAGCATGAAGCCTGTAAATACTCAGAACACTGGCCTGCTTATGGAGAGGCAATCGACCCACGAATATTTTCAAGATGAGAAACGAAGCTGTAGGTTTTATTTGTGAAAAGAAATAATGGAGATGGACATTCCTTATTATTATAGATCACACCACACTTGACGGACCCTTTAATGCTTCTTACGTACTCTGGGGTGCAGAGGTTGTCGGAACATCAAAGCACATTACGTGGGGAAATGGGAAGTGGGGGGTAAACGGTTAGGGTTGGGGCAAAATGACACTTCCATGGAAGATTGATGAAGAAAAAGAAATTTAGCGACATATGCATGCTTCTATGGCCAATCCCCAGACCTTTTAACCGAGATTCCAACTGTTTACGTTGTTTGTAATTCTCTGTATTAGCGCACGGCCTCAAAATCATCTCAACGGGTTTTCCATCAAAAGGATAAAAACGCTAGATCCCATCAAGGTGAGGCGCAAGATAAGCTAGTGGCTAATTTAGAATAAAATGACCACTCACGAAACGTTAGGAAAAGAAGATTTATGATTTCTAAACTGAAAATTTGACGATGGAAGCTCTCGACAACATTGGATGAAATAGGCCGTCCCAAATGATCTCCAGGACCTGATCACCTGTAGGAAAAACGAAAACCGAGGAAAGCGCGGTGAGCGGTAATCATGTATTCGAGAGTATTGTACTTATTTATAGAATTATCTTAACATTGCCAGAAGGTTTCCTAATCTCGTTTTCATGCGGTTCAGCCCGTTATGGTTGTCAAGTGGCAGAAACGCCGTAGTGCTTCCTTTTTTGGGCGAAGGCGCACGTTTCATACTAACCAGTTTCAAAACAATTACATAAGGAAAGCCTGTTTGATACTCCAAATGCGGTATGTATTATCTTTGAAAATCAAACAATAGGAAGTTCTTATAGGCTTTTAGAAGTTAACGTTCGTTTCGGTTTGGGATATGAGAAAACCGCAGAACGAGATTATATTCTCAAATGCAATCCCGAGTAGAACTCGGCGAAGAAAAGAACGCATTGATCCGTCTCATTAGAACAGACTTTAAGTTGCAAATCGTCAAACAGTGAACATAGCAGCGCAACATCACGCCGGTGTTCGACGAAGTAAGGCTTAATCGAAATAACAACAAGTTAGAAGGAACTTAGAGCCCTCTTCAGGTATGATATGATTATTCATATAGGAAAACCACGAAAGTACTAACCATATGCGTCCATTTAATGCATAATACCTTATGATACCAAAATGTAATGTAACGTATTAAAAACAGCCAGGAAAAAAAACACGATGTTACCACAAAAGTAGCATAGAAAACAAACAAACGCTGATTAGAAGTTGCAGCGGAACTGAAATTAAGTTCTGCGTGGGTGTTGATGCCCTTTGAGTTATCATGCTGAAAGCTATTCAACAGCACTTAGTCTACTTAGCCTTTTACGATTTGTAATCGTTAACTCCTGCTTTGCTTCCTTAGGAAAAAAAATCCGCTCCGCAATTTATTGTTTCCTTCCGCTCCAGACATTCGTAAGAGATTTAGATTGAGCCAACAAGATACGATAATTCTCCTGCCCCCGGCTAAATAACCCGGGTGAAGATAATACCTGTTATTTATTTATTAATGTCGTTTTTCGGCGGAGAATATGGTAGAAAATGAAAGAAAAATTTATTTTACTGTCATCTAGGACTAATTCATACGCAGCTTGTATGCATTTGTGAGCTCATCCATCAAGAACTCAGATTTTAGTAAGTTGCCCCGTGAGGAAATTTACACGGTAGATAACGTAATAAAACAGGTATGATGCAACAAATCACCGGTTAACAGAGGGTCTGAATGGGGTTAACCGTTAGCTTTTAAACAGCGAAAACATTGAGCCGTTTGCCGCAAAATTTGACGAATTTCAACCGTTGGTCATAAGAAAAGTTAACCGTAAAATTTTTTAATCTAATCATAATGGCAAGAAATGAAGCGTTAGCCGCAAAATGGTCAAAATTTCAACCGTTAGCCGTAAAAAGCCATCGCCTCGTCGAGAACCTCAAAACGGGTTCTCCAAGACAACCAATGCCACTGAAAAGATAAAAATAAGAAAAGCGTCTTCAGACTTATGGTGCGTTCCTTTGGGGTAATCTGGATCAGGATTTCTGATCTGTGGCGTTCCTTTCGAGCAAATCCATTTTCAGATCAGTGATTTATCAAATCCACTCTGGACAGGGTTTTATCGGATCACTGATCTGCGCGATTTGAAGACGGATTATTGGATCATTGATCCAACCCGTTCCTTTGGGCGAAGGATCTGAAATTTATCATTTTGCCCAGCGGTGCTCAATTTCAAACAGGTAGGTACCTAATATGACCGGAAAGATTGTTGGCAATCGCTTCACAAATTCTGTGATAAACACGAAGTACACTCAATTTTGTAATGTTAAATCCCGAGATCGGCCACTGATCGCAGGCATTCAGGGTTCCCAAGTATCCATATCGTAATCAATACTTGCTTCTGTAAGTCAATGGTATGTCTTCCCCCATTCCTTTGTCCATGAGGCAGACCTGGGCAAGTAAGTAACAGGTGTTCCAGACGGCTGACTGTAGTTCTTGAAATTCGAAAATGACTTCAAAAATCTTTAAGGGGTTTAATACATTCGAAATAATTCTCAATGCGGACATGGTTCTGCCTCTCCCTTATCAAAAGAACAATAGAAATTCTTCATCTTCACAACTACTTGCCTCTTTTACTATGGAATCATCTGAAAGTTCCTCTATTAACGAAACAACAGCTGCTTTATACGCGACTGCCATTTTTTTTTTCGTTTTTAAATTTAGCGCGCGATTCCGCTGAC